GCTGATCTTGCAGCTGAGCGACTAGTCATTGAATTACATGGACCCGAAGCGTAGCATGGTCTGGTTCTCTAGATCGACATGTCCATCAGGTTCTTCTGAGTGCAACGAGAGCTTCATATTGTTTCAGGTATCTTTTTCTCCAAAACTTGCCAAACTAAGGTCGAGTACATGATCGAGAACGGCTCTGTAGCTACATGGATGAATAGTCCTGCAGAGATTACACGATGCATTCTTCCTTGCGAATTCGGATTCCTTGTTTAGTCTGTGGATATCCAAAATGGAAAGGTATGCTGATGGTCAACAGCGGGTTCAGAAGCACGCTATTAGCAATCGGGGACCCTAGTGCAGGAATGACATCTCTACAGTTTTTCATTTCATTGTGTCTCTACTTTCTTGATTGGAGGAGGTAGATAATCTCCTCTCCCTGGCCTCATCGGGTTTTAATTTCACTTCTCCGCGGCACATGGTATTTCCATCCGTCTGTTTCTTCTACACGGCACTCTTCCTCGTGAAGTGGTTTCTGTGTCCAGCAGGATAATGGAATTTTTTCGGTGAACCAATATGCTATATTGTCACTGTTCCTACGTGTAGGACTCTGCGGCATCATTGAAGTCCTTCGTTAATGCTGTGCGGTTCCACTAGATCTATATATATGGGATAAAACAGAATCTTAAATATGTAACTTCCATTATTAAGGTAAAATGTACTTCCATTGTGCATACATATAGACTCGGTTTCGTTGGGAAAGCTGTCATGCTCAGTCAAGACTCTCTGGGTTCCTGTGTCGCCAACTCTTGCCTCTCCCACCAATGCAATCAATGGACTAGGTCATATGATGACCTTTATTGATCCATGGCCGATGTGGGGAGAAGAGTAAAAAAATTAATCACGAGTCAATGGCCCGATGCTCTCAAGCCCGAATTTTGTCCTCCCGATTACGGGGGTCGGATGCGACAGGCAATGGGGCGACGGATTGCCAGGAGGGAGAACGAAATGATAATGTGCCCAACGGTCAGATCGGTCAATGCGGGTAGTTCAAGCTGCTGGGGTTGCGGAGCCCCGCAGTCGGGAGAATACCACGACCATTCACATGCCAGACTGCAGGGAACCAGGAAGATTCTCGGTGAATATATCAGGGAAAGACTTCGGAGTATGGCCGGCTCGGCCACGACAAACGATGGTTCTCGAAGCCACTTGGCAGTAGAGTTCAGCCAACAGCGCCGCGACACGAGAAGTGGTCCAATGGGAGAATTTTCGGTGGAAATATGTGAGACGGACCAATCACTTTCTCGGGATGGCATTTTGACTATCGCGATTTCTCCGGAGGGAAGTCTAATTCCCCCAGTCAGACTCGTACCCACTGACGGACAGACCGTCAGCCGGGCCGGCGTCGCAGAAACTGGGGGAAGCCGAACGCTGGCCCACGCCTCCTAGGCGTCCAACTCTCCCCCATGGGGATACAACCCATCCACTACGGTCAAAACACACCTCCTACGGCGAACTCTCACCCGACTGATCTGGGGAAGTCGCTCACCGGGCGACTTGATCAGTAAAGTCTCCTTCGTGGCTGGATCTAGGCCTCGCGATGACAGGCAGGGACTGGCATGGCACCATCATTGAGTCTACAACTTTGCTATCCCTCTCTGTTATAGCAGGGGGTTAAACTTTTGCCAAGCGGTTAGAGTCGATTATGATTTGCTGAACCAGTCAGATTTACCGAGGAGATGGTATGTTTTTTTTTTGCCGCGGGGGGAGGCTAGCTGCGGTGTAACTCTGACACTTGCTGACCACGCCCAGGATGCCTCCATTAGATAAAAGGCACCTCATCTCCCCATCATCCTAGTATCATCTCTCATCCTGTCGACACCCCTCCTCGCTCTGCTTATTTATAACAATCACAATGGGATTCATGCTCAAGAAGCCAGAAGGCACGCCAGGAAAATCTTGGCCGGCCATCGTCATCGGTCTTTTCGTTGCCTTTGGAGGTGTACTCTTCGGGTAGGCTTTTTTCATCTCCATTCCTCCTAATGATCTTGTCTGACCGCTCTCTAGATATGACACAGGAACAATCAGCGGCATTCTTGCCATGCCCTACTGGCAAGAACTCTTCTCCACCGGCTACCGTGACAGCACCGGACACCTGAACGTTACCTCCTCTCAGTCTGCAGCGATCGTCTCCATCCTCTCTGCTGGTACATTCTTCGGTGCTCTCGGTGCGGCTCCCATGGGTGACAGGATCGGTCGGCGCTGGGGTCTGATTGCTTCGAGCCATGTGTTTATCCTGGGAGTCATCTTGCAGACTGCCGCCACGGCAATCCCCATTTTCCTTGCTGGTCGCTTCTTTGCCGGTTTCGGTGTTGGGTTGATCTCTGCTTTGAGTATGTCCTTCCAGTCCGGTAGATTGATCCTGGCTAATATAGACAGTTCCCCTTTACCAATCTGAAACCGCGCCCAAGTGGATCCGAGGCACCATCGTTGGTGCCTACCAGCTCTCCATCACCATCGGTCTCCTCCTGGCCTCCATTGTGAACAACTCAACCAAGGACCGTAACGACACCGGCAGCTACCGCATCCCTATCGCTGTTCAGTTCGCCTGGGCCATCATCCTCATCGGCGGTATGCTGATCCTCCCCGATACACCCCGGTACATGGTCAGGAAGGACGACATCCAGGGCGCCGCCAGAGCCCTCGGCAAGCTTCGGCGCCTGCCGGCCGACGATCCGGCCGTCCGCGAGGAACTGGCCGAGATCCAGGCCAACCACGAGTACGAGCTCAGCCTCGGCAAAGCCACCTACCTCGACTGCTTCAAGGGCAACCTGCTCAAGCGTCTCCTGACCGGCTGCGGTCTGCAAGCCCTGCAGCAGCTCTCCGGTATCAACTTCATCTTCTACTATGGCACCCAGTTCTTCAAGAACTCCGGCTTCGAGAACTCCTTCACCATCAGTCTCATCACTAACTGCGTCAACGTCGGCTCCACCTTCCCCGGCCTCTACGCCATCGAGAAATGGGGCCGCCGCCCCGTCCTCTTCTGGGGCGCCGTCGGCATGTGCGTCTCGCAGTTCCTCGTCGCCATCCTCGGCACCACCACCACCGGCCAGGACGCCTCCGGCACCATCATCGTCCACAACGAGCCCGCCCAAAAGGCCGCCATCGCCTTCATCTGCATCTACATCTTCTTCTTCGCCGCCACCTGGGGCCCCAGCGCCTGGGTTGTCACCGGCGAGATCTTCCCCCTCAAGGTCCGCGCCAAGTCCCTGTCCATGACCACCGCCACCAACTGGCTGCTCAACTGGGCCATCGCCTACTCCACCCCTTACCTCGTCGACTACGGCCCGGGCAACGCAAACTTGCAGTCCAAGATCTTCTTCATCTGGGGCGGCTGCTGCTTCCTGTGTATCTCCTTCGTGTACTTTATGATCTACGAGACCAAGGGTCTTACACTTGAGCAGGTGGACGAGCTGTACGCCGAGGTCAGCAGTGCGCGCCTGAGCAAGCACTGGACTCCCACGATCACCTTCCGCGAGATTCAGCAGGAGAAGGCCCGGGATACGCATTTGGAGACTGCCGAGGAGACTGTTCCTAAGTCGGCATGATTGTGACGCTGTGATACGTACTGGCTTTGTGATGTGGATGTGATGTAGTATATATAATACGACTATTATGTCTATCCTATGGTATATCGCCAACCAATTCTAGATACAGAATTCATATCTTTAATGCACGATAACAGAACAGCTTGAATCGCGCAAAAAATAGTCAGAGTCCCACCAGTAACAGACAATGCAAGGTTGAGATCCCAATGCGGAGCCGCGAATCCACCCACAATCCCAGCCATGATTGAAATTATCACAGCAACGAATGTCCAGATCAGCGCATGTCGGAGGCTCAATTCGTAGTTGAGCATGAGTGCTTGACACACCGTTTTTCCTGTTCCCTCGTCGTACAGGCGACGAGGAAGGATACTGTAGGGCTCAAGCAGAGCCACAAAGTCTGAACCTCGAAGAACGGATGGGTTATAGATCGCACCGGTGAGAGGCTCATTCACTGAGAGATGCTCGATGGATTGGATGAGCTGTGTAGGGGTGTCGCCACTTGTCTATGATAATGAGAATGGCATATCATGAGGGTGAGCTGCACCTACCACGGAGAGCATGACATTAGAAATCACAACCCGACGCATGAGAAGAAGATTCCGAAGTCGGTAACTCATCGCGTGTATGTCGTTTTCTAGACCATTTAGTAGGAGCAATTGATGGATCAGATCTTCGGTTCTGATTCTGAGGCCAATGCGCATGGCCTGGAGGATAAGAAAGCCATCTGTTCTGCGTACTGCGACTCTGATCGCAAGAGTCGTAGGAAACAGGCTGCTTGGATCACCACGTTGTGAGTGGGATGCAGGTTGGTAACTGGCTGCGGGATATTGTGGCATTGAATGTACTGGGGAAGGTAGCATCCTGTTTTCTATTGCGATCAGAAGTTCGATTACAAGGACTGAAGGGTGGGAGGGATAGATTGACCATGGTCACTACGAGCGCGACTTGAATGAAGATATATCCGAGGATCTAACTGTGTCCCCTTGGTGATTTCAACAACATTGTGCTCTGAGGAGGTTGCTGAATATAACCATCAGCACAGGAATGCCTATGGTGGAAATATGGGTATAGTAGTGATGAACACATTTGTGTTTAGCTTGTTATGGTACTATGCAGGGATCCATGGCGATCAGTCTAATAACAAGCAGCCGGCGGCTGATACTGATGTAAAGCACGTGATCTTTATGGCGACCAATAAAGACCTTGGACGGGTGGGCAAGGCTGTGCTCCAACGCCACTGATTACTGGGCTTCAGCACACTTGTGCTGAGCTCACCTCTGCCATAAAAAGTTTGAGCATCGCCTGCAAATTGCTCAACAGGAGGGGTGTCAACTTATCAACCTCTTCAACCTTTTCATCCATTCTAGCAAAGGTCTGAAGCTCATAGATCGAAGGTCTACACTGAGCATGGACCACTCTTCTGGGTCTGGCATTACTCCTGGAAATCAGGATGGGCGCAGTCTATTCGAATGGGAGCGCCTTTATCCCCAGGCTCCGAGATCTGTCTCAGTCAACCGTTTTAGTTTGTTCAGTTTAGATAGCATCGACTCGGGAGTGGGCCTGCATGGGCGCGAGTCCCCAAACCCACAATTCATGGCCCGGAATATGATTGCTGGTCGAACTCACGTCCCGCGTTCCCTCACGACTGGTATGAGTCGAGTGAGAATCTCAATACTTCTGCGTATAACCCTATCAGTCAGACATACATATGCGATTTGTGTGACGAGTCCGGTCGGAACATCTTCTATTACTTTAACGATCTCAAAAGGCACAAGGAGACGAAGCATGAGATCACAGACCACATCCAGCAGCCATTATTGACTGTGGCAAAGGAAGCCGTATCAAAGACCACGAATCAGGTTGAGGAGCCAAGTACACCATCGGAGCCTGGCCACGATGTACCGTTCTTCTCAAACGCAAGTGTCTGCCCATCTCAGAGAATTGACCTCCAGCCGCTGAGCAAAGGCATTCGTTCACCATTGGGAAGTGATACCACAGACTCAGGTGATTCGGAAATGTATGCAGATGAGGAGTCATTGTTCGACGATCAGGATGCCCATGTCTATATTAGGCGAAAGTGGAATGAGTCAACCATCCAGCAGCTGGAGCACATTTACAAGCAGGAACTATACTCGCTTGTAGGTTCAAGGGTTCTCCAGCATTGCAACCCACACCGGGAATATGGTACATCATCAAGTCATGTTTCTGCCTGTTCCTTTCAATCCGGCCCCAAAAACGGGACCTCTTCGGGGAAGAAGAGAAAACGGGATGATATTTCCCACGAAGGCAATCATGGTGACCATGATGACAGTAACGATGACGGTGATGGCAGTCAAGAGCCCTCTAAGCGACTCAAAGCCTCGAAATTAGAAGACCGAGCCTTACGGTTCGCTTGTCCCTTCTTCAAGCGTCATCCAGAGAGCTTCCGAATATGTGGAATGTCAGATCACGAAAACTCATCCCGGGTTAAGCAGCACATAAGCCGCAAGCACCGTATGCCCATATACTGCCCGAGATGCTCGGAAACCTTCAAAGCAGAACAAGACAGGGACACCCACGTTCGTGATGCCGACTGTCCCGTGGGACCCAAAGCCAACTTTATTTGCGCAACAGCCGAGCAACTGAGGAAATTGAGTAGAAGGAACGTTCATCAGACTGATCGAGACAACTGGAACGCCATCTACAAAATCCTGTTTCCTGACGATCCGTTGCCTGAGAGCCCCTATCTTGATCCCTTCGTTTCATACGAGGTCAATCTCGTCCGCGAGGCTTTCCTAACTGCTGCCCCTGTCGCTGTCCGAACTGCTATACAGCATGTGATTCCAGAAGAATTAACTGATACTCTGCAAGAGGAACTGGAGCGAATCCTGCGGTCGACTCATGCTGAGGTCTTTGACCAGATCTTGCATAGAATGCGCGAGGATCGAGAATCCCCGCGAGTGGATCGTACAACCACGCAATCATCGTCGCAAGTCAGAGTATCGAGCACACCTGACTCTGGTATTGGAAGCACCATCAGATCTGGAAGCAGCCAAGACGAGCCTGAGTTAACTCTAAATAGCCAAGATAGGCTGACATCCTTCGGTAGTGGATCATTCGATCTACAAAATGACGGCTCCATACCATTCCTGCCACTGTTCCCGCAAGGATTCGACTCATCCGACTATCATATGGGCCATGTTCCACAATCTCTCCCGGCTGGGAACTTTGGTGATCTTTCCGAGTATCTAGAACCTTCAGGTGACAGTTTTGTGACGGGTCAATCTTGACTTGCGCTTGCTTTTGCTTCGTCCTTTTTCCCGTCATTCCTCTGGGACCCCTTCGATACTGTTTGTATCATCCAAGTTCGGTGTATTTTGATGCAAACTCTCGTTTTATTTATGCCAGCGCATGTCGGACTCTTGGTTCCTTCAAAGGCTGAAGAAATGCTGATGCGGAGATTCTCCCAATGATCAATATGCCGAACTCCACCTATCGCCGTCGCGATGAAGCTTGTGAACCCTGAAACACGGAGAATAAAACGTAATTCAGTTCAGAAAGCAACATTGTCTAGGAGGGATCATGCTTCGAGCCCCTAAACTCGTCTAATGTTGTTCTATCAGGGTTGCCGGAGGAAAATAGCAACGGGAGCATCGCCCCTATTTACCGCCATATGGATGGCAACTACCTAACAATGAAGCAGAGAGGATCTATGATGAGGAGGCAGAGATCATTGAGGTGCACAATCAGACAGTAACACGTTCCTTGAAGCAGTACGATAGCCTCAGCATATCGCTCATGCAATCCATGCAAGAGTACTGGTGTCCACAAATGCAAGAATACCTCCGTGGTGTTGTTAACTAGGATGAAGGGTGTTCAACACAGTTGAATGATATTGGGATCATTCTTACTCGAAGTACCCGGCTACACTCAAATGCACTTTGCATGCATCTACACCCAAACCCAAAGGTCACAGAAGGCAATGAAGGTTCGTCCTGGAATTTGCTAGGCTAAAGTTTTACATCATCGGCCTTGGTCAATGGAATTCAACGTCAATCAAAGGGCTTTGAGCCGGTGAGATGCCGGTGATTGGTTCATTCCCAACAGTCATCGCGATGGTGCAGGGTACTATTTGAAGTTATTCAGATGTTGTTTTAGTTTTGGCGTTTCTATTCAGCTTCAATTATTATTTGCTATTATTAATAAGATTTGATGCTGCTTAATATCTGGGGGTAGATGCACTGTGAGCTTAAACATCATAGAATTTCCACCATCTATGTGTGGTCTTGTAGTCAAGTTACCAGCCATCATTGTACATGTAGATATACTTCCATGTTTTTTGAATAAGGGAAGTCCTCACAGGGGAGGTGTTGTGTTGACACCGCCAAGGCAGATAGCATCATGACTAATAAATTCCCAAGATCCCCACTGCTTCTCGTGCCGCCAAGCATCTGTGGGCAGACGCTTCTAAGCCTGGTTCCTCTTCTGTAAGTAGTTCTATCATAATGCTTAACAGTCGCCATTATGTCTTCAGTACTGACACGTACGTTGTTGAATGATCCACTTGTAGAATCCAAGTGGCCGGCTCCCGCGTGTTGAGCCCTCATGGATGACAGAGTCTTCTGGTGGAAATACTAGTCGCCAATCCTAGATACCATGCATCGACGCCTGCTGACCGAGGGCTAACCATATGTGCAAATAAGGTGAGTCGTTACCATAGCTGTGTTGATGAATCAACTGTCCACATATTCCAAATAGGTTATCGAATACGTGTCCTATCAGAATTGAGTCACGCCCTCGTATTCAAGTCGTCTAGCTGAGGATATGATTAGTGAACACAATGCGGCTGAGACAATACGAAGAAACCGTTGAAACTCTGGCGTTCCCAACCACGGATTCAACGACTACATATAAAGCTGTGAAGAAACGCGACGTTGATAAATAGCCGTACCTCACCCACTCTCAATCCAGACAGAATCAACAAGAATCAACACAAAACACGCGCAATGTCCAATCAAAAGTCCTACACCGCAAACTGCCACTGCGGCAACGTCAAACTCTCCTTCTCCACATCCCCTCCAATCGAAGAAGCGGACGTGATCTCATGCAACTGTAAAATTCCCGATCTTGTCATCGTCATCGTCCCTCCAGCTGACCGAACCCAGGCTCCATCTGCAACATCAATGGCTACATGCTCACCTTCGTCCCCACCTCAAAGGTCACATTTGAGACGGACAAGGATGCAGTAACGGTATGCGCTCCGCTCTTGGCGCCTGTGAGGTGGACTAATAGCGGCAGGAATATCGCTTCGCAACGCGCAATTACCCCCATTACTTCTGCCGGACCTGTGGGACGAGCGTGTATGTTCAATGTACTGCTCCTGGAAAGGAGGATCAGCCTACGGGGATCAATGTATGTTTCTCCCTGGCCGCGATAGGAGGCAATACTGACTGTATAGGTACGCACGATTCAAGGGCTTGATATCAAGGCGTTGAAGATTCGTGAGTATGATGGGAAGAACTTGTTGTAATGTTTGGTCACTTTTTTGAAGGATCTCGTTTAGTGGATATTTAGACGCGGAAGGTGGCTGTTCATGGTTTCTGGGGAGAGTGTCTGGTGTTCTGCGGCGAGAGGATGAATCACTAGAAAAGGTTCCTTCATTATTTAGCAATGAACTATCAAGTTATCTCACTCCTGATAATCCTTCTCATCCGTCATAAACTCCTCATCGTTCAGATGTCTGAACCGCCACCAGAAGACCACAGTCTGCACAGCCAACGCAATACCCGGCCCGGCCCAGATCCAAATGAGCCATGGGTCTTTCGTCGCCGGAATCAATATCTCTCCCAGCGCGCTGGACAACGCATTCATAAACAAAAACACAGCCATGACTAGGCCGCGCATACTGGGCGGCGACCGCGAATACGCCAGCTCATACGCCGTCACATTGCAGAAACACTCCGAGAGAGCACCCAGCACCGTGTTCGGGATCTGCCACCAGATGCTCAGTGGGCTGACGCCGTCGCACGTAGAGGCTTGGTAGCCACAGGGTGAAGTCTCGTAAACGCGCCACTGGACTATCGCTGCGATGACGCTGGAGATGGTCGCGAGGATGAATCCAAAGGCGATCCGGCTTGCTGGGCCGAAGGGAATCCGGTACCGCGCGAGAGCGGGGTAGACGACGTGGCTGAGCAGTGGAATCGTGACGATGATTGTCAAGGCGTTGAAATTGTTGAGGACATCGTTGGGGGCGCCGTTGGTGGTCATTGAGGCGCCTTGGTTCGTAGAGACGGAGCCGATGCCCCCGTTGTTAATGTACCAGATGGGGAAGTAGAAGAAGACTTCGGTGGCCACTGTGTGATGGTTAGAGTAGTCCAAGCAAAGTGCGAGGGAGTTGACTCACCCAACGTGCGTCGCACATCGTCTACCAGCTTCTCATTCCAATCTACCTGGATCCCCTCCGCGGCGAGCACGCTAGGCTTAGCGGCGTTGAAGAAATCCTTCTTCCAGACGCGGTACTTGTTGCGACGGAGAGCAGTCGAGATGATCTTCATAGCCTTGCTGAGGTCTGAACTGCCGCGCGGAGGCAGCTTGTACGTCTTCTTATACACCAACGCCAATACGATCGGAAGAAGAAAGTATATGGCTCCCGCCAGCACCCACGACAGCCAGAACCCAACATACTTCTCCGCGTACGCAGTCGGGAGCATATAGAACGCCCCGATGTTTACAAACGCGTAGAAGATCAGCATCGTTCGCGTGGTGGTCAATTCCGGATCGACAATGACCTTTTCTCCCGTCTTCAGAACCTTGGTGTACTGCTTCTTCTGGCGATTCTGGTCGAGGATGGTGGGTGCGATGTTGGGCTTGAAGATTCCGGCTCCGAGCGCCAGAAGGAGAAGGCCGATTATGAACGGAGGGGCGGCGTGCGCTGGGCCTTTCTGGAGGACGGAGGGTATGGCACCGATGATCTGGATTATATGTGCGATGCCGCAGATTGCCACTCCGACGCAGATTGCCTTGTACCGGCCCACGTAGACATCGGCCCACCTACGCCGTCAGAGCAGGGTACCAAAAACGGGGAGTACACTTACCATCCACCGAGAATAGGCAGAACATAGGCCAGGAAAGCGAACAGAAGGACTAGTCCTGAGCTAGCCTGCAGACCCATTCCCAACGCACCGGCCGTCTCCTGTGTGCCCCTTGGAGGGGCACCAGCTCCATTTCCACCTGTCTTCGGTTACTCTTTGTCCTTTCTTAAGAAGAGTGCGGGAAGTATACCCTTTGGAAGAGGAAATTGTATGAAATTCGAAAAGATATTCTTGGCGCCATAGTAGGATGCTCGCTCCGCGAATTCGACAATACACAGTGAGAAGGACACCAGAGGGATGGTAGCGGCAACTTTGCGTAGAGATGCCTTTTCTTCTTCTGTGGGAGCAGGGTAGTCGTCCGTTTCCGTAGAGGTGGCTGTAACTTCATAGTCGTGCTTTTCGAGGTCGCCTTTGGCTTCAGTCAACCCGGAGGTGATCGCGTTGCCGGTAATGGTATCACCTGGTGAAGCTGCTATTGTCAGTAGAGCTAGACAACGGGCAGGTGGACATACACATTTTGACTAGCGATGAAATGGCATTGATGATTCCAGACGAGGAGATGGATGGTTCCCTTTTTATCGATGATCAGCTGGTCGCGCCATCGAGGTCTGTCCTTTGCAATTAGGCAAGCGACGGACTCCGTCGGTACCACAATCATGCAACATTCACCAATTAGCCAGTCAGGGTCAAATGAGGTTCATCGGACACAGCCATTTGCGGTGCGAATATGCAATGTAACCTCAGGTGGAGTCTTTTGCTTAGCCGTGCTTGTAGTTCTTATCAGGGGACCAAGCCATGCTAAAGCGGGTTGATCAATTCTAGTCCATTATCGCGCCATCAACTCAGTCTGGCATTTGTTCTGTCAACAGGCTAGCAGCTCAATTTTACCTAATGTGTTAAGAACGCTGGATCCTCGAAGGTTCTGGATGCTTTCGCCATTGGTTACCATCAATGCTTCATTGCCTTTCAGGGAAAATTCGTAGTGGTAGAACGATACTTGATGCAAGATGGAACGTACATCCACGTGCCACTGACGATTAGGCACTATATAAATCCTGGATAAAATACTTCTGCACAACTCCTTGCGTTGACCTCGTGGCCTCGTGGCGAATTTGTGGTTAAGAGGGATAGAACTATTGCGGTTCGAAGATCAAATCTATTAGCTGACTTCCCAGGGACTTTATTTTGTCAATAAACATACTGTGCTGTACGATGTTCGGTATAGGCTGGAACAATACCTGGAGGAGCCTCTCAACGTGAAGAGCGTGACCCCATTGAGAACAGTTGGTTTCCACATATACTGCACCATTGAGAAACTTGATGTATTGCGCCGAGGACAGCAGCGCGGAGTCGAGGATAGTCTCCTGTCGTCTGATCCGTCCGCGGTAGAAGTTGCAAGCCTCTGGATTCTGGATTGTGCGAACTATGGCGCCGTGTTGGAGCTGCTCTTCAATGATGTATGTGCGCTCTCATGTCCAAATACTAGGTCGTTACTAGAGACCGCGACCAACATTGCGCACGTCTGTGAGGCATGCTACCAGTGCCACATACAGCTGTGTGGGTCAAGGCATGGGAGCTGATGGCAGAGCTGGGTTTATAATTTCGGTAATTGTGCATTTGCAGCATGATTATTTGAATGAATGTTCTTCAAGGGTAGAGGAAGTAAAATGAAAGAATGAATGAGATGAAGAGAGGAGGTTCGATTTTTTCTTCGTCTGCTAGCTATGCTCGACAACATTCACCATCATTCAGCACATCGTCCTAAACGGGCATGTTGAGGCCATATCAAGCTGCTTTTCGAAAGGGATTCGTTTTCCCCCTGCATTTTCCTGCTCAAACTGACAACTATCTTTTTCCTTTCTTCTATATCTTTCTGAAACCCTTCCTACTGTCTTCTACTACTACCACTCACCACCAACCCTCAGCTTCCTGCGGTTCTGGTGGGAAGAAGCCCAACCGGGGTGATGACGGGAATCACCGCCCTCCTCATGGTGGCAAGGGGCCAGCTCGCATTATGGTACGTCTGATACTTCACCCTCACTATGAACGTTCTGACGATGGATGTCACAATATAGGATGTACGGCGCAAGCTGTGTCAGCGGCGCGGGCACAAGGATAGGGATTGCCCCTCACGTACCGGGCTCGAAAATGCCCAGGTAGGGACGGATAACATTTCTCGCGCGCTATATGAGCTGATACCTCCTTAATAGAATCCCTCCGCTCAGGGGAACCGATCCCCCCAGCAGCGACGCCGAAAGGAAGGCATGAACGCCAAGGATCGCCGCAGAGTGCGCAGGCAGCAGGAGCGACAGCAGCAGCAGCAGCGGCAGCTGGGGGAAATGCGAGAGGAGATTGAGGAGCTGCGTGATGTGGCCCGGCAGCTCTACTTGGAGCTGCTGGATGTCCGCCTCCAGCAAAGCCGGCGGCCTGTCGAGGAGGGTGAGGATGGAGACGACGATGGAGAACAGTATCCATGATGTAGCTAGATAGGGGAATAGTCTCAAGAATTGAGGATTCTCTTGTGTGCCTGCGATGAGGTAGGAGCATGCCCGATTGATTGATTGATTCCTTACTCCGTTTCGGCACCGGGCTGGGCCATGCCAGAGGGCTCCTACTGAGCAGCGACTATCTAACCTGCGGCCGTCTCTGCAGACTTTTCGGCCGGGCCGAAATCGCCGGCTACCTTGCCTCCCATAGAGCCCTCACGCCTGCCTAAGGGCCTGACCAGGCCTGCCCCGCTGAGCACGCCCAATAGAGCTTTATTTCTCTTCATTAAAGCATCCGAACAACTTCAGAGGATCAAGGACGGCAATCTCTCTATGAATAATCTGTATTCTAGTCTCTCAGTCCTTAGGTATCATTGTTAACGACAGGAGCCTTCCTACGCCATCATTTTATATAGAGGTTGAGGAGACATGACCTGGTGTCTGTACACTGCGAGTTAGAGTATGTATACATGACCATTCTACTCAGGAGTTTATAGGAATTTCTATTCATTAGGATCAAGTCATGCATAAGGAAATCATTAATACGGCTATCAAGCAACAGGTAGCTTTCAAGAACTACATGGCGAGGGATAAACCATTAGGCCACCTGGTGATACATGAGCACACCCTTCCGCCCTATCCACAGAGTTGCCCTTGCTCGTCATCCATCTGAACCCTCCCACTCCAGGGCAGTCAATGAGCTGCGGGAAGAGGGAGCCCTTGGCCCTCATAAGCTGAACGACAAACCACAGGACAGTCAGCTCTGGGACCTGATTCTCTTTCACACCCAGAACGCCGGCGCGTGGTGCGGCCGGGGCCAGCAACACAGGGAGCACATTATAATCCTGGGACCACTCCACAACGGTGTTTTTGATGACGCCTTTAATCTTCTCCTCATGGGCATAGTTATTTGCGCGGAGGTTGATGTAGCCATAGATGATGGGGTTGGTTGCTGGGTCGTTCCAGACGGCGGCCCGACGGCAACACTGCAGCGGGATCTTCTCACATGGCTTGCCCAGGCGCTGGCAGCGTTTACACTTCCTATAGGAAGCGTGTCGGACCCACGCGCAGACTTCGTCATTTCTCATGGCGTCTTTGAAACAACGTTGGCAAGAAAAGGAGCCGGACGACTCAACCGCATGCAGGCGGCCGCGGGCATTCAAGGCAACGAGGGGGTCATCAGAAGACTTATCTGGTTAGCACGAAGGACATGGCGACGACACGCCAGGGACACGAAGGAGAGACCCACAGAAGCCGGAGAACCAGGACCGAAAACAGTAGCAGCAGCGGCGGCGGAAGCGCCCGCCCGCAGGCACCTCGCGGCATGGGAGGGAGCCGGGGTCTGAGAGCGTTTGATAGGCATCTTTGGCTATCTGTCTTAGCAACGTCCTTACGTCGTATCCCCAGCGAGAACCTACCTTGTTTGGTAGGAAAAATGAGTATAGCAACGAGATGAAACAATGATTCGCCAACTTCTCCACGAACTACCGCCTTTTCCCCGAAGACCGTGCACGTTGGAGCAGGGCGTTATGAGGCTTGTGCAAGGTTCGGTACCTTTGGGACCAGTCACTTCTTTCCTCCTAGCCTTGATTTTCTGTTCCGACCAGACGTTCCTCAAGGCGCACCAAAAAGGTTGGTCGATTCGTCCGCAGCTCTCTTTCCCATGGACCAGGGATAGATGTGTGCCCCCTCAATCGGTTCCTCTGCTCTTGGTGACCACACATGAGTTCTTGTCCCTGGCCAGGCACTGGGGTTTGTTCAGACCAATAGGCAATACATTCAACCTGATGCGACATGACTTACATTTTGTGAATCGGGTCTGGAACTCCATTTTTGAACTCGGGTCTTGTGGCAAGGATGTTCATCAACTGGACATCAAGTTCCCATACCCGTGAGGCCAGCAGTGGACCGTTATCGGCCGGAGTCAGAAGCAGTTTGGAGGTGTGGATCGAATTAACAGGGTTGAAGTTTCGAAAAGATAATTAATCAACAGAAGTAGTCTGAATGGCTTCGTCTCAAGTTAGGTGGTGATGGGAAGAATGAAAAGGAGGAGACGGGGCAGGAGACATGAGAGATGGGAGACGGCGTAGCACAATGCCCATTCACTACCTAGTATTACTGGGTAGTATTTATTCACAATCCATCTGAATATCTTCCCAGCAGTGAATGATAGGATCATATTCACTGTCTTCGTATGCATATAGTTGAGCTACATGCGTAGGTCGGGTTGCTGCTGTCCTGGGCTCGGAAAAGCTGCTGGTATCCAGAGTACAGGGACCATATACCCGCATAGTGAGACATCAGCAGTGCACCGCGCTGGACAATCAACCATCACCATAGACTATTTATTTCGACGCAATGGCCGCGATATCTGGGGGTCTTGACTAAATACGGAGTTGATGAATAATGTTTGAGCAACTATGCAATCTCTAGGTGGTTAGCTGCGCACTTTTAGACAGATTATAGGGTACTCTGGTATCCGGTTAGGTTTTTTTTTTTTTTTTTTTTTTTAGTAATTTTCTTCGTGCCGTGTTTATTCTTCCATAGAGTACACACATTGCCATGAACTTTTCCAGACCATATTGTTTTAGTTATCCTATTGGGTATACAGCTGAGCATACTCTTGAATACTCCGTGTTGACAAACGCGCGTGGCGCTCTTTGTATTATACGAAATTCGTCTTCCTTTGAACGGCTTCATTTAAACAGCTTGCTCGTACCTTTGTAACTAGGTGACTTGTCATTCTCAGAATCCTCGGACTTATAAACCCCCAACACCAAAGAAATGACTCGAGCTGCATTCTCAACTGTCAACCCCTCACCGTATCAGCTTCTAGGTTGCATAGGGATCTTTGTTGCAGCTTGTGTTGTTCCTTATGCAATATAGCCCTCGTCCCTAGGTAGAAGGCAAAGCAGGATATATAGCTGGGGCTTGTCCTGTTTCACTTTGTCAATGTCTCCAAGGGTTGCAAGTTGTTCTATTCTGTCTTCTTCTGCACCATTTTCTTGGGGAGTTCAGGCATGGCAGCATCAAATTAACATTTCAAGAACTGGTCTTCTGCGCAAGAGTCTGCCTTGATCTGTTGTTGGCATCCCAAGCGTGTCTAAGCTGTGAGCCTGTCACAGTGAAAGAATACTCCTTCCACCATCGGACGTCAACCTAGAGCGGATTTTGACATGTAAATTTCCGTGCCTCAACTGGTGGAATGTCACATGGCCGTCATCACAAAGACTGGCCCCAACAATAGCAGTCGGAGCGAAGAGAAGTGCTTCTCCAACTCGAAGCGCAACAATCTGTTCGAACAAAGTCTCAGATTGCGGGCCAGCAGTGTCTGAATGCGCCTGTGCACTGAAAGGGTTCTCCACAGCACCAGCTAAATGTTTATGCAAAACGCGCAGCCACTCTGGCGAGGTGAAGCGGTGGACGATAATGACTGAACATAAATTGAGTAGGGATGTGGAAACCGTTGGTTCCTGAGTAGAGATGATCATTCGAACACCGAGATGTCGTTGAAGCCGGACAGCAGACAGGAGTGTTTCTGTGAACCCTTGAGCTTCAATGGAGCTATTCATGTACTAGATTTTCCGTCAGTTATTTTTTCAGCAGTGGGTAAAGGTGCATTAGGGAAATGACCTTATGGGCTTCATCTAACGCCACTACTCTGCCAATTTCCGAATCTTGTTCAAGGAAAATGCCTAGACAGATATTGAATAGCGAGCATGCTGTTTCAGGTGAAATACAAGGGCAAGAGAGATCGACAATTGTTAGGCGACGGGCCTACCGTAGGTTAGTGAAAGCAAAGGTGCGAGCTCGGATTGCCTTTAGCTCACTTTTGGTTTCCAATCTGATCCCCGCGATTGCTTCTTTCCCTTCCCACTACTACCAACAGCCTGTATCTGAGGCATAAAGCTCTCTAATGTGTCCAAACGCTGAGTGAGGGGCTCTAGCTGGGAGGGAGTCAGATTAGAGGACATGACCCTCCGTTTGAATTCCCGGTAGTCGAATCCGGTCTGAGTTTGCTGTTGAGCCATACGCAATTCTCGTAGGATGCGTTTCACCGTATGCATGTAAAGCGGCATTGGTCCATCGTCTTGACCAACTGCCATGAGATCTAACATCCTCTTTGTGTTGAGATGTTCTTGGTCTATCTGCAAAGGAGAGACGTGTATGTTGAATCTTGAATATGTACCCTGTCTTAAATCAGCATGAAGATGGTGTTTCTCCTTCAGATCCTGCTTACCCGCATAGTATGGAGATTGGTTGGCGAGCATAAGACTCGCACTTCAACATCAGGATGCGAGGACAGAAAGGCTGCTTCACAAGGTGATCCCATGGTGTCACTGATAAATGTGTCATAGTGAAACACTACGCCGGTAAGGGGATTGGGCAGCCTTCCTGCCTTGGATGATATTAAACAGTTCTCCAACATACAAGACAACGTGTGACTTTTACCAGAACCTTGGGAACCACATATGAATGTGCTTGACGGGGGGCTAATATTGTAGAAGATGCGAGAATCATCTTGAACAAGCTCTATCGGGTGGGATAGCGTCCTGTTGAGTCTTGCCAACAGGCCAAATTGGGTAGCGATCAATGAGTTATCGGAGGTTGTGTTATGCGCAAACATACAGCTTGTCATAATGGGTGCAAGTGACTCTTCCCCAAGCTCCTGTGCCTGTTCGGTCGAGTCAAGAAGACTTTGATGATATCTTATAATGTCACCACTGAATACAGGGTCTTTCAGAGCATTGGGTGGTAATGAGCGCGCAAAAGCTGATGAACAGCCGCTAACGGTCTCATTAGGGTCGCTGATTGAACCCATGCTGCTTTCTTTCGTCTGGTCTTGCTGATATATAAGAAGGAAGGGGTAGTAGCCACAGTGTGGAGGATGTTTTAGGGGAGAAGATGAAGCTCTGATTCTCGCCTTCAAAAGGAAGAACAACCTTATATATGTATTTTGTGAATCGGGAATTATCTGGAAGGACATACAGGAGAATTTGTCTCGGACTACAACGTTCAAAGATCATGCCTTGCGGAATTTTCCACTTCAGGGTGTTACTGGTGCGCCAATTGCGTTTTCTTACGGCAGAGTTCGATGACGATAAATGGTCTAGTCTGCCTATACAGGCAATTTTAGCAACAGCTAGGGGCATGTTCCTCGATGGAAACCTGGTAATGAGTTTACGGTTCGGCCTGTGCTGTGATCAGGCAAACGTCACTGGTTCCTTGCTTTTGGCGAACGTCGTTTTGGGGAAATGCATGGCCAAATCCGCGCCTTACTGATTCTGGTAGGAAAAAGTGGAAGGCAACTTAACTTCCATATTCGGCTGCCAGTCGAGTCCAATCTCATTAAAGTCCTGCAAGCTAACAAGGGAAGCAAGATAACCCTTCTTTCATTGGCTGTCCAATACTCATTGTGAGAACATCGCCCTGTGGTTTCGCGTCATGGTGAGGACAACTCACCAGCGCCACCACATTGAACGTCACAGGCTAGATACTGATGCAGCCAGTAAAAGCTTCCACTGTCCACCCCATGCTTTCAACCTGCATTGGTTCCCTGCAGATTGCTGTTGATAGGCCTGAGTGAGGCCTCTTGTTGTAGTACCAGTGTAGCAATAAAGCCGGCGCACACACTCGTGAAATTAAGATGCGCTTCTCTTCTCATAAAAATATCCATAAGATCAGATGGTAGCTCCTCTTGGATTCTGAACTAAGCCCGCGAATTTCTGCTGTCTTTACTTTCTCAATGTCCGACGAATGGAGCCTCAAGAAGGTCGAAACTATCTTCAATTACCGTTTTAGATCAAGAGATCGGCTTTCAGAAGCCATCACAGCAGCCGGCGCCGAGGATGAAAACCATGACGGGAACAGACGATTATCTGGAATTGGGCTTGATGTTCTTAGTCTTTTCTTGAATATTGATGGAGTCATGGACAACGCTGAGAGAAGTAAGCTTAATCTGGTATTTCAGACGTCCTAAGTCACTCACATATGAAGGAGAAATTTCTGTCCGCAAGCAACAATTATGTTGTGTCCATCATCGTGCTTTCGTTGCGAAGCGCATTGCAATCGACCAGTGCATCAAGTACTGCCCTCGGTCTGGTGCAGGTGGCGCAAAGGTACTCGGAGAATGCCTTTCGGCTGTAATAGGAGCCATTTATATGGATAGCGGGAGTCATACCCGCACATGGGAAACCTTGCAGCACATAGGGTAGGTAGAGCCTGGCACGAGACTCTGTTGGGAAGGCTAATTTCAACCGTGCAACAGATTCTTCATTCAAAAAGATAGCGGTGTGAATCCTGAGCTGCTAAGCGCAGATTCCCTGTATGACCTCAATTACCCCATCATCGACTCGTTCACACACAGTCGCAAAATACTTGGTCAGGCGGAATCCACTGCTTCTGCAATCACAGCTCAGCCACAAGCGTTGCGAATGGACATAGGACCAAACCAAGAGTCAGAATCATTGTCCGTCCGGGAAAATAATGAAAACCCGGCCCAAGATGTTATGAATCAGGCGAGAAAAAGGATGATTGGTGCCTGCAATCCTGAAGGGGAAACAAAAAAGCTAAGAAAATGTATAGCTGGTGAGAATGGGGACATTATGATCTTTCTGAGTCAAGAGTCCCTCAAGTGTACAGCGTACAGTCTGCCCGCGCCTGACGAGTCCTATTGGAATGTCGCAGTTCGTGGATGGATGTCAACAGCCACGAATGACAGGTCATTTGAAGTTGCCAAAGGATTGTTACTTGGGGTTGCTAGTCCACAAGCAGTGGCGAATCTGCAGGCAACAATACAGAGCTGGCGTGTGCGCCCTGTTAGCTACTCATTGCAAGTATCGCACCTACCTTCTAAGCCAGAGATATTCCACTTGATTGAGAAAATCGATCAGGAGATTGGAACTTTGCGCTTATTTCGCAGGTATTATGTCCTGGATTTATTTGAAATGTGCGGCGGATGCGAGACCCCGTCGTGCAGTGGGTTTGTTCAGCAATGCCCGGAGCGCTTGAATGCTGCGGGCAAACAGAGCGGGAATTTGCGCTATCGTGCTGAACACGAAGTAACAGAATCCATGATGAGGGAGATATTCCCTCATCTTCGGCCGGGGATGCGAGAGTACCAGGGCAAGCTTAATGAGGTAAAAAGTCTCCGACGAGTCGGCAGAAAGCTTTACATTCTGGCGCAGCGGTTTGGTAAGGGTATACTTGCAATGATACCCTACCAGGAATCTTCTGACCAGCCAGACATGGTAGTCACAGACAAGATGTGAGTTCAATAGCCAAAACCGATGGGATCCACCACTGATGACTTGAAGGCTAAGCCGATGTCCGGAGAAAGTATTCTCGGAGATTGTAGCAATTCTTGACACTTACCAGGGTGATATACTGCGCCAATTCAGTGCTGCAACCCTGAAAATAGTCGAGAAACTACTCCATGCTCGCTTAGGTGACTGTGACCCGTTTGTCCTGGAGTCTACTTCAACGGTCTATATCATGGAGTTGCCGAAGAACTCACCCAGCCTCTTGAAGTTGCTCCTATGAAAGCTCTAAACCCCCACAGGCATCGATGGACTTTCCTAGCGTTATACCTGTAAACCACTTCAATGTGGCTGCTTCTTGAGCGAGGCAACCTATATGTTCACTTCTAGGTATCTACTCTGTTGCTTATAAGGTATATCTGTACGAGACTCAATCTACTGCTAGTCATTCATATGCAAAACATCTAGCAGAAGTAATAGGTAGGTCTGACTCATTTGTGGTTTTTGCCTCACATACATAATATTGTAACGGGTTTCCTCCCTCAAATCCTCCCTCGGACTTTATTCCCCCATCGGTTGCCATTACATCCAACACCTTTCGTTGCAATATCGATCAACTTCAAAACTACTATCCTAACCATCATTATCTAAAATGAAAATCCACCATAACTCTAATTTTTCTTGGTAAATCTAATATTTTATCTTGTATATACACAGATATGACTATCCTCTATCTATAGATATAAAAATATCCCTTATTGGCCTAGAAGGGCAAATATGCCAATTCTCATAGACCCTCACTTTAAAGTACCTCGCAACGACTCAGTCAAAGTCTCAATGTCCATTCTGGCAACAAGCCGAAAGAATGGGGTATTTTCATAAACTTGAAGTAGCAGCAACTTTAATGACTGCTGCACGCGTATCCTGCTTTAATAGGAAACACCCAGGCGATGAACTGAGTCTTCTTTTGATCTTCAGTCAAAGATAGAGCTTCCCATTCTGAATTCTTGCAGCAGCCAACAGCCATGCTGACTTGTGATTGGAGAGAGATTCGTCACACATACACAGGCAGCGTCAAGGCTACAAGTTGACTGGTAAGTTGTAATCTGATGTTGGCACAACTGCTTGGAAAGTCGAATAATGGGCAATCATCTGAGAATGAGATTTTATAAAACGTCCTGCGATAACAATAGATGGTCTTACTAACAATTGGGCACCACACGAGTATGGGATATTATTTCCACTACTCATGCTGTCATGAATCTCACCTTGTTAGTCCCATCTTTCGTGAAAAAATACTCTGTCTTGCTTCCCATGCGCTGAGTGCAATTGCTGGGATCCCATGAAGCACTAGCAACTCAGACATTCTGTTCATGAAAAGCTTAGCGCTGCAGACTGTTAGGCATTAAAGCCGGTGATTTTATTAGTCCATTATTCCATTGTCTGTTACCACATGAAACCCGCGATTTACACTTGGTTGGTGATATTTTCGTTCAGAATCTACAGTAGTTGTTCTGAATAGCTAATGAAGGATAGTCGAGTGAGTTAGTTCACCGAAGCAGGCCGTCGACGCCTAGCCAGAATTGCCAGCAGAGAGGGGCATATAGTGATTTGAAGGCGAGGGGCTGCGGTAAAAGCTAGTGCCGTCAAGCTATTCGTGGACTTTACTCGCATCATGTACTATCACATACTATCTCATACTTCCCACTAGGGCCCAGTGGCTAGCCTTTGTAGTTGGTGACGACTCATCCATTGCTGATCTCTTGTTTTGTTTCATGGCGCACTGTACGGAGGTCATCAAATTTGCTCAGACTCACCCAGGTAGATCCGCCATGGCCCTTTCCGTGACGCGGCAGGTGGTGATCACGGCAGGCAGACTCAGGCACCGGGCACGGATGGCGCGGAAGCCGGCGAGCATGGCTCTGCAGCTTCCTCATCCATGACACCTGGGCACTCTGGGGTCATTGGCTGGACCGGGGAGGGGTTGCTCGTACAGAGAACGGCTGACAAAAATATTTTATAATAGCCCTAAGGGAAGACAGTTGTTTATTCTATCTCTGGCAAACTGGCCTATTGAGATCAATTCATTCTGGCTGCATTACCGCTGCTTTATGCACTCGTCCGAGACATCAAGGCAAACAAACCAACAAATCACCCAGCTTATCCAGCACAACCGCCTGCACATCGGCAGCCGCATCTGTCTTGTCGCTCCAGCCCACAGAGATACTGACATAGCATCCGTCCGTACCCACGACCGTCGACTCAGTCGGCAGCCGCGAGCTCCCACAGGTCTTGACATCATCGGCCGAAAACACCCCCGAGAAGATCCGCGACAACACAAACTTGAAGTCGTCCGCGCTGGCACACTCATTGCTCACCTCAGGGAAATTGACGTTCAGCCAGACCTGGTCGGGCAGGTAGGGGGTCCCAGAGGCAACGACCTTATTGGTGATTTTCGTGGCCAGTTGCGCATACACCTGGCTGTATGCCGGCACGGCCGCGTTCCACGCCGTCTGAGAGCCGGAACTCCCCGAGAACGCGATCGCGGGGATCCCGGCCTCGGCGGCGTAGTGTGCTGCGCCGACTGTGCCGGAGAAGTACACGGCCAGACCGAGGTTCGAGCCCACGTTGGGCCCGGAGACGGCTAGGGCTGGAGGGGCACCGTTGAAGAACGGGGGCGCCGCGGTGCTGATGCCGTATTTCATTGCGGTGACTGGGTACGAGTTGACGTAGTTGAGACGATGGTCAGAGGCATTGTAGCCTGTCGCGGGGCTGCCGGAGGGACAGCTGTTGAACTCGCATGGTTTCGTCAGGGTGGTGGGTGTTTTGTCGGAGGAGCCTGAGTTGGTCAGCACGGATTAAGTCGTTGACGAAGGGGTACGGGAGTACCTGTTCCACTCTGGTTTTCGGCTGGCGCAGACACCACGACTGAGTGCCCAGCAGCGGTCAAGGCCTTGTAGAACTGGCGGATATTAATCTCGGCCCATCCATCGTCGTTGGATGAGACGATGTTGATGGCCTGGGCCGTCAGGGGCAGGAGAACCAGAGGTAGAAGATGCATGGTGATGGTCGACGGTTATGCAGTCTCAATGCTGGGGGCCGACGCTGTATTTAAGCAGCCCATCTTGTCGCGGTCAATTCACAATATAACACTGAAAACAAGGCAATGAGGAGAAGTGTTGATCTCGGGGACATTTTGGTGCACGTGCAGCATCGGATGGCCGGAGAAGAAAATCAAATAGATTAAGACAGATTAAAAGACGGCACGAACGGCCACTAGATCATTAATCCCGGATGTGTCTCCCAATTCGAGTAGATTAAGTTATGCAGAAGCAAGAATGCATCCGAGGTTGATGGATATCTCATATCATGCAGTGTCTCCCCTTAAATTGCTCCCAATCATTTCACAGCGTGGAGGCTGAGGAGACATCACCCGACAACTTGAATGGCTCTATCCCATCGGTCCTCAATTGCCTCTGGGTAGAGAATAGTGTTCTCATTCCCCAATTCATGTATCTCGGCAACAAGTCTAGCATTTATTAATTACTGCGTCATCCTACTACGGAGTACTACGGGAACTTCACGACGCCCATGTACAGAAAGCTGCCTTCTGGTTCAGCTTAAAGGGAAGGATTTGACATTAGTGAAAGATAATCTTGGAATAGAGCGGCACTACTTTTGCTTACTACAACAACTACCAATTAAAATTTTGTGCCAAGGCGGATGCTACGGTTGGGTAGAACTACGACTTCACAGCAGATGCGGCTGGCAACGTAATATGAAGCCCCTGTCTCGCCGAAGTTTGACGACCAACATCGATCTTCCATGTTTCAATACTACGCCTCCTGAGAGTTTTCTTAACCCTATCTCTAACACCTCCTGCGGATAAGAAAGCTACTTTCAATGTATGCCGAATTATATACGCTTTTCAACGCCATCGCAAAAGCTACTGACCGGATTCTCTGTTTACCCTTCTTACTCGTGGTCCTTACATTCATGCCTCATACGGTAGCTGCGGCTATGTCCCACCAGCGCACGTCCTTTTCCGAATAAGCTCTTGTTTAAGTACGGTTGAGCAGAGGGGAAGCTGTTTCCAAACCCTTATGGTTGTATGTGGTGTGGCTTTGTCAAGATCAAATCATAACTTCATGCCTTAATACTACATTTTCCGAGTCAATTAACGGGCTTGAAGAACGGCATTAAGCTATAAAGGCTCTATCCTTCGTGCAAGGGAGGAGGCGAAAGAAATAATTGTCAAACGCAAGATTGCCGCTGGAAATCCAAGCAAAGCGAAAACCGCGACAAGTATTCACCTCTAGCCAGAAGTAGATGTGTCTTACTAGAGTAACAGGTCACATTCGGTGCCGGGAATACCTGAGCCTTGCTACGATCAATTATGATCTGTCTCTCCGTCTGTATCTGTGCCGTTCCATGTAAGCATTGAACTGACTCGATTTCGGAAGTGTAATACCGCGGTCAACCATTTAGCATAGGTTCCACGTCTCGCGACATTCAAAATATGAGGCGTCCAGTTGCACAACTGGCAAGCCTCTGAATGCTCACAGGGGACACTTCCACCTTTCATAGGCATCCTTATGAACGGTAAAATGCCGATTGCTAGATGCCACCCTGATGTGTGACTTTCTTTTTCTGGCATCAACCTTCTATTTCTCTTGTCACATTGCAATGGTTTTTGTGTGCATGTTGAAATAGAGGCGCGATCGTATGCTAAACCAAAGGGATATGCAGTTTTTCGTCACAAAGCTGGGCATGAGATCTGAGCACTGGTGCATGGAATAAAATTGTAGCAAATAGCATCCTTACTGGTTAGGACTGCATCTGTGTGCTGTACATCCACTAACAGCAAGGAGAGTAGTACGCACTGACCCAGCCAGACAGTATTGCGCGTCCCGGCTAGGGCTCATAAATACCCTCATCTTTCTGGTCGCTTTAGACGTCGGACCTTCATGCGTTCATCTGTTGCTTATATGCTATTCTATGCTTAGCTCAGACCTATCTTTTGCATATGAGGCCCTTTGTTCTAAACAAGAGTCATAGATACGTGGAAATTCATTTCCAGCCCATCTTTCATCTTTTCAGTCGCAGTCACCTAGTACGCCATGTCTAACACGCCCACTCTCTCTCTTGATCAGCTTCTTGGGACTCCTCCGCCTCCAGGGTTGCCAATGGACAGTATCCAAGCCATGAGATGGGGTGCCAAACATCCCCCAAAAGATCCGCAGGCCTCATTTGTTGGCAAAGTAGTCATGATCTCCGGCGCCAATTCTGGCATAGGTTATCATGCCGCCGAAAAATTTGCCAAGTTGGGTGCATCCAAGGTGATCCTCGCTGTCCGGTCGCCTGCCAAGGGCTACGTGGCCAAGGAGCAGATCGAAGCAGCAATGCGACGCAATGAGAAGTGTGATGACATCGTTGTCATGCAGCTGGATATGAGTGATTTTGAATCTGTCAAGCAATTCGCAACCAAATTGGAGGAAGTCACCGTCGACGGATTGGACGTCGCCATTTTGAATGCCGGCATTGCGGCGCCCAACTATACAGTGATCGAAACGACAGGCTGGGAGTCGTCTCTGCAAGTTAATGTCCTATCGACGGCTTTGCTTGCTATCCGCCTTATGCCTCTACTGCGACGGGCCGCAGCGAGAAGCGGCCAGCCGTCTCAACTGACCATGACAGGTAGCGCGGGGTCCCTTTCCGTGACTCCGGCGGATATACCCATCGATGCGCCGAGCGTGCTGCAGGCCTTGAACGAACCCCGGTCGTTCGGCATAAGATCGACTTACGTCATCTCGAAGCTACTGGTTTTGTATATCATGCGCGGTCTGATTGACAACTATTCGGAGACTGTGTCGCCCGACGGGCCGATGTGTCAGAATACGCGCCTGCCGATCTCTGTGGCCATCAATGTGATCTGTCCCGGATATACAATCACGAATATCGGTCAAGGCGGTCCCTATTACATGACTGTCATTAATAAATTGTTGCAGATGTATGGGGGGAGATCTGCGGAGGAGGGGAGTCGATCATTGGTGAGCGCAGCGTTACTGGGGGTGAATGGACATGGAAAGTTTTGGTCCCATGATACATTTGTTGAGTGAGTATTCGGTTACACTGCAGGATGGGATGTCATATACTAACATTGAGCGTGTAGCCAGGGATACATGGTCACCAGTGAGGAGGGCCAGAACCTCCAAGCTCGGGTCTGGAAGGAAATCCATGATATTTGCATGACACAGCTTTGAATAGACGCCAGGTGTGAGCATAAACCCTGTTTACAGGGATTGTTTGATGGGTAAAATTGAACTGGAAACGAGCAATTGCCCTTAACAATAATAGCCAATAATAGCCCATAATAGCCCATAATAGGACAAGATACACGGCCCGTACTAAAAGTAAGGCAATTGTATTCCTTTTTCCTGTGTTATAATTAATGAGATCGTCAACAAAAAATTGGAGCCCTCTGATTGTCCCTCTTCTAGTGGATAACCAGGGTTCTTAAGAATATGGATATTGTCTCTAATTGCAAATATAATGCAAGGTGGCGACATGCAAGAATGGTCAGACACAATTGTTCGCCAGGATACCTAGCACTCTCAAAGGTGTATGCCCAATTACTGGGCATAGTGATGGGAATCATCAACAGCCTTGCAATTTCTCGGTTCCAGTCTGAAGGAAATTGGCAAAATAATGTGTCCAGTCAACTGGAGTCTACAGCAGTATGCAAGTAAGTGCAAGACTGCCTGGCTGGCTCAACTCTGTGTGTGGATGTGAAGTCCACAGATGCAGTCCTAAACCCGACAAGGGATCCTATTGGTCACATTGTCTCTCCCCCTGCACCAGCCATCACATCTTATGCCTACTTTTGGGTCAAGAAGCTGCATACCCCTGAATTTTACATACGATACCCCCTCAGCCCCCCATCTATTTTGACATGCACATAAAGGCTGTAAGCGAGGCGACGTGAGCAATGGAACGCTGATGCCCAGAGGAATATGTTCTTCTCCATTACCCTCTGATCGAACGAGCACTCAACCTGATCAATTCAAGCAAGTATCAGATAACCTCAGAACTGTTTCTAGAGCGATGGAAGAACATACAAGGAGCTTCGAGCCATTCGATCTGGCATGCTTAGATCATACAGTGGGGCCTGTTTTCATGAACTTTTTCTTATCTTTCAAACCTGCGAAAATTGAGGAATCTCTGATCTCTATTGAAGAAGGAGTCACTCGCCTTGTAAATAGGCTGCCTTTTCTGGCCGGGGATGTCGTCAATTCCGAAAATGTGGATGGGAGGGTAAATGTAATGCGGATCCAGCCATCTTCGACTCTGATCCGTGAGATCCCCATGCTTCACACCAAGCATCATCCTCACCATATTTTACCAAACACGCCACGACAAATTAACCCAGGATCCGATCAGGATCAAAGGTTTGCACCTCTCGATGACTCATATGTTCCTCCAGTCTCGCTGCTGCCTCTGGCCCCAGGACCAAGGCCCGTTGTCCGGTTCCAGACCAACGTTGTCATTGACGGAATCGTATTGGCCTTGGGATTCCACCACAGCGTGTTTGACGCTACGGGAGTCGGACTATTGATCGAGATGTTAGCCACTTGCTGTAGCAGTGACTGCCCAGCTCTGAGCTCCCATATTGAGCTCGAAGAGGAGATCAGGTTAAGGCGCTCAGTGGACAAGATCGGTAATGGCGCCACAGACTTAGCAAGTCAGCGAGATGAAGTACAAGATCCCAATGGCAGCATAACGGAGTCACCTGCACATGTGCCCATGGGAGATTCAAGTTGGGTCCCGCCGAAGCTGTCCGTCTACTCATTCAATCTCTCAGCAGCAGGCCTCGCACATCTCAAGACTGCTTGCAACAAACTACTGCCTGCCATTCATGCCAGCCAAAACGGTAGTCCACAGTCAGCAGAGAGCGAAGGGGAGAAACTTCAGCAAGAATTCGTCTCCACCAACGATGTCTTGACCGCACTGCTCGCGACCAGCATACATCAAGCTCGCAGCCGCGTAACTGAAACCGAGCTTGTTCCCACCAAAGCGAAGCTTGCTATGGCCGTCAACCTACGCGAGAGAGCCTCTTCTCTTCCCAAGACATATTTGGGGAACTCCTTGACGGTCACTGAAGCATTTGTTTATTCCCTTGCAGCGACAGATGGGTTTGATGGCGTCCCAGAAAGGCACTACCACCCCGACCTCAGAAACGCATTGCTTTTGGAGATCGCGAGAGTAGCACTACAGCTTCGTAAGGGGCTTGCTGCAATAGATGACGCATATTTCCGCCAATTTGTATCACGCCTGCGGGCCAATTTGGATTGGAGCCAGTTGGGTGCGAACCTTCCGGACACAATGGTGTCGAGTTGGCGGCATCTCAAAGTTTATCGTCTAGACTTTGGCGCGCGTCTGGGTCGGGTTGTTGAGTTCCATCCTCAGACTGCCTTGGTAGATGGGATATGTATTATCCAGCCAGAACGTATCGCTCATGAGGACGACTCGGCTGATATGGCCCCGGAGTCTGGGTGGGAAGTTTGCGTTACGCTACAATCCGATGCTATGGAATGCTTTCTTAGGGGTGGTCTGTTTACCTCACTTTCTCAAGGGGCGATCAGAAGGGTTTGAAGCTGTTGAAATAAGCATGAGATAAGTTGATTTAAAGTCATTTTCAGTCTAGTTATGGATATATGCTTGAAGGCCTACAGTACGTAGTGACATCCGAGAAGGCCATCAGTACCAGTTGGTCGGGGATGGGGAGACCAAAACTTGTCATCACAGTCATTCTCCCTGGAATAAGACGAGATGAGGTACTGGTCGCGATGGCCACGGACCCAGAGAATTATTTTTATAAGAAATTTTACAAACCAAGTGGGGGTAAAATTTTACGATTTGAAGACGCGATTATAGAAAAAGGAGCGATGCCACATCACTATCTAACCAATCACATTTTGCTGATCTGTTGCCAGTAACACCAGTATAGGTAGAATGCATTGGACCCTGGCAGGCAGCGCCATCTTTGCCAACTCATCCTGCATGGGGCTACTTATGCAAGTCATTTGGGGATAGCTTTGCGTCTGGCCTGGAGTAATCGGCGCGATATGGATATTGTTGAAAAATATATAGAGACCCTAGACTGATAGGAATCGTCCGGACACCTTTTTACCTAGTGGTATTATATTTCAATAGATATCCTCTCGTCTCAATAGACGCTTAGCGTCGCATCGACGGCAACGTAAACAATCTACGGCGGGTCATTGCGACCACCCCCGAACTTCTTTGATCACGACTATATGGTTCACCCGCCGCCAATCTTTTGCTCAACTTGGAGTACTAGAAGCATGGTTGAGAACTAAGACATGAATAGCCAAAGAAAGCAAATATGATCATAGTTCAGTTATTCAGGCTACAATTATTCTAGGATTTCTTAAGGGCATATAGGAACAACCAAACTAGTTCTCCTGATTCCAGCGATGATCTAAAAGCAACCGATGCTGAGAAGGGTAAGCACATCTCCGACGATCGGCACTGAGAAATTTACCTTTTGTAGTTCACGCAGAGATCCTGCGGAAGTCGTAGTAGAGAGAAAATCAACGGCGTCCGAATCTGATGGCCAACGGCGGAGATTTTTTATGCCGACCACTCTTTCTTCATTGCTTTCTGCCTCCATAAGTTCCATTGCAATGATCCCCAACAACCGCACATGGTGGGAGGGATTGAAGACAGACACGATTGCGAAGCAGAACTGAGATTGACTGAGATGGCATTACATGAACTACTTGACACCAAGCAGCTGATCCGTGAAGGTGAGGGCGTAAGGCTCTACATGATATAAATATTAACCTGCTTTGGTCTAGTTCTTGAGAAATCTGCGTCCCTTGAGAACGAATTGAGGAGTCGCCAGCGCCTAATAGAACAACTCTGTTCATGCGACCAGCGCCCTACTGATGGACGCCACAGTTTCTTGGCCAGTCTGGATACTGTGGCCCACAACGGTTGTGACGACCATGGCAGCAATTTGCTCCAAATGTGGCCTCACTGTCGTATTAAAATATTTTAACACATTACTCCTCCAAGTAGACAGTATCTCTGGTCGCATACAAGCATCATGGAGGCTACAAGTGTGTATGGGATTGCCGCTGGCGGCATCCTCATTATCCTTATTTTGTCAGATTTATTTCCTTTCTATTAAAATTCACCAGTGTCGTCTCAATCTGGATTGCGGCTCGCTTCATCTACCCATATTTGCTTAGTTGTCATCGTCTAATCGGCCCTTAGACGTGAGTCAGTGTCATTAGACATCTACTCTATGTTACCGCAAATCTGCTTGCTCTGTGTTTCTGACCTTCCACGCTCGCCTAAGTAGGCCACAGAGCTGGAAGATTATCATTACTTAATATTGCTGTCCTATTTACTAGCTCACCTCTTGGGCACCTTGTGGATATAATAGGGGTATCCCTGCGTGCTTCCCAATGCATACACTGAGCCGCGGCCTGGATGTCTGGGATGTTGTTAATGATATGGGGCGATTTTGATCTCCAGAAGATTGATAATATATTTATGATTATTATATGTTTCTTATCCACCATCTAGACAAGTCTAACATATTAGTAGGGTGCTAGAGTTCTAGGAGGGATTCTGTTCTTCTCTCTCCCCTTTATTTACTGCTATACATATGAAGTCTTCCTAAGAGGTCATTAGGGACTCGCGGGCTTGCTTCTCTATGCTACCTGGCAATACTTATCTTATTACTATTCCACATCCTGTGTTTTCCTTCTTATTATATTTAGTATATTTCTACTGATGCTTATACTCCAGATTCTTCATCTCCTTTACTGAAATGGTATATTCTCATCATGTGGCCACCTATGGGCCCTGGTCGCTCGTCTCACTAATAAGGGTAAGGAAGGATACGCTAATGAGGAAAAAGCAAGCCAAGTAAAGAAGGAAAAGGCTACCTAACCTATAAGTATTCTTGTCAATCTCTTACAGCCCATGAAGCTAGATGCTGGATAATATATCTATCTATCCCTACCCTCCTTAACATTTTGGTCATGGCTACAGAGCCATCCGTTTACAGTTATATCCTGGTCTAATAAAGAGCGGGATACATTAGAGCTTTTTATACAGCTATAGTGTAGATTCTTAGCGGACCTTCTTTAAGCTGCTAAGGACAGCCCTGTCTTATTTTTACCATACATCACTGGCCCTCATGGCATCAGCGAACCGGTCAATTGATATAAAAGCATCTTAGTGATTACTACTGACTTTGGCGTTGCTACTGTGATTCCATACTTCAAAAAGTTGATTAGTAATTATAATAAGTCTGTAGCACGCGCTCATTGCTTGCATTTTTTTTTTGTCTAGTAAGTGTAAACATAAGGTGAGATAAGCGCCCTTGAATAAAATCGCAAAGCTGATATATTTAGATATTGCAATCGCAGGGGAGTCATTACTTAACAGTCTACTGGAGCATGATGAGGATGATACTTGATATAAGTGCTCTGTTAGTTACTTTCTGCTCAGACAGGAAGACAGCTAATAAGCTAGATCCTTATGATTTCTCTATTCATGAAGTCTGGTTCTTCCACGGAGAATATGCTATTTCTTGGTAATAATAAGTGCGCCTTTATACACTGTGAAGAGCTAAACTATTAGGAGATCATTGAAGCTGAAGCATTAGGATAGTATATAACTAGGCTCTCTAACAGTGAGGAAGCGCGCGGCGAATCCCTTATAATGGGTGAGTGGCTGCGATCATGCGCAGAATTGTCATGCTAACTGCCCCAGTTTCTGCTTCAGATAAATTACGCGATGAGATATGTTTCGTTGTTCGAGAGCACTAAGCAGATAAAGTAAGGATGGCGGAACTTGAGTACCAGCTGCTATAGAAGAGGATCACTAACTAGCTGTGACCTGTGGTGATTGATTCTGTTGGAATATGAGCCTGGTGGCTTAGGTCCCTCACTTAGTCATCATTAGATAGATTCCTGGTCCCCCTCCAGGTACCAACCAATAGACAAGCATCCCTGCTTCACAGTTTCTCTAGTGTCATGTGCCAGTATATGTAAGTTACAACTTACTGCACTATAATTCTATTGATTGAGACCTGGTCGCCTACATCCCACTAAAAGCAAGGACAGCGAGAAAAGCCTTTTACATCAGGGCATGGTATTAATCGACGAGCTTCGTGTACGTAGGATCATATATTTCATGGTTAAGTATTCTCTATTTGGCCGCATATTTGGTTCACCAGCCGCCTCACTTTTTGCTTAACTTGGAGTACTAGAAGCATGGTAGAGAACTAAGACATGAATAGCCATGAATAGCTATAAGAAAGCAAATATAACTATAGTTTAGTTATCTAGGCTATAATTATTCTAGGATTTCTTAAGGGCATATAGGAACAACCAAACCAGTTCTCCTTGGTTCCAGCGCTGCTCTAAAAGTAACTAATGCTGAAAAGGATAAGCATAATCTCTGATGATTAGCACTAAGATATTTACCTTTTACAGTTCATGCAGAGATCCTGCGGAAGTTATAATAGAGAGAAAATTAATAGCATCTAAATCTGATGACTAATAGCAGAGATTTTTTATGCTAACTACTCTTTCTTTATTACTTTCTCCCTCCATAAGCTCTATTACAATGATCCCCAGCGACCGCACATGGTGAGAGGAATTGAAATTAATAGTATAGTTATAATTTAGTTTCCCTTTAAGAACTTATGAGCAGCAGGCAGATGCATAAAAGTAATTTCCCCTTATAAATCTTGACTTCACCACCCATACCCAGTAGAATATCTAAATAACCCAAGGTATCAAGGTAGAAGCTGCTGGATTTAATATGCAATAGCCCCTCAATGATCTAAACTTGTTAGATGCGTCCTGAGTCAGAGGAGCCAGAGGCAGTTACCTATCCCAGAATAGAAGTAAGCTAGATCTTGTTTAGAAAGGCTAGGCAGGCAACTAGACTCTCTAGGGATAGCAGCAGATGCTTATAGAGGACATAGATAGTATCTTAACGTTTAAAACATCATTTAATAGAAATGATGTTTCTATAAGTCAACCCCTAAAAGCCTTACACCACTATTTCTTTCCCTTCAGCTTTATGTGTCTGGATGATATGGAGCTCAGAAGGATGACTACACTTAATAATAATATATATACCTTCTTATACCTGTCCTAAGGAGACTCATGAAGGACATCCTGAGATCTAGTAGTAGCTTTAGTAATACTTAGGAGGACTAGTTCTTTAGTCTTCCCCTCTAGGACCTTTTAAACCCGCCCTTAGGAAGTTAGAAGATTTTGCGCCTTCTATAGGCGGCCTCCTCCTTTCCTAGCTAGTGATGAGTGTGGCGCTGCTATCTCTGGAGTGACTTATTTCTGACTTTGTAGTTGTGATGCCAAATCAAAGCAGGTCAAGTGTGTATCCTTCTGTGACGACATTATGGTCTACCCAGCAACCGCGAAAACATTTCACAAAAAGAAGATAAGTAAGTCCAATCTGGGTGGGAAATGTCGCCTATATAAGGTTAATACCATAGCGGAAACTGTGGCCTCTGGGGATCGTGGCCTCTGTACTCAAGAGACCAGGCTAACACCCAGAGCCATAAGGAGGATGTATGCAACTCAATATATCTTGATATGTTAATGCAAATCTCACAATCCAGTCAAAGTCATGCCACATTTACAGTTCACTCAGGTTGAGACCCGCCTAGCCAGTGAAAGACGTTTAAAGTACTAAGGCACAGCCAAGGTCGGCTTAGATGAAATCATATTCCACCCTACATTGAACGCGAAGGTTGATAAGGTAAAGCTGGAATATCTACACCACATCTTCCATAAAGAAGGTTGCCGCTGTTTAGATGTCTGTAACCATGCCACCACAGTAGTGTCAAAGACGCAACTTAATACAGTACTTAGTGAAGCTCACATGAGCTCATCTGCATTACTAACCAATCCACCATCCTCTTTTCTGACCCTTTATTTTGGGACCAGTCAACTTCAATGCCTCCATGGTCAACATTGTATGAGGGTAGGCAGAAAGCTACTGCTGCCTGGGGATCGTTGGTGGTTAGTTAATATTTACCTTAAGGGTGAGATACCGCCTTTATAGCTGTGGCTGTCGACCGGCTCTAACCATTGCCGTACGCAGATATTAGTGATGAGCTCTGAACCTTGCTTTTGGAAGAGTATTCGAACGAAAAGCCTCCCAGTGACGGGGAAGTCTATCAGAAGATTTAGTAGTATAACAGTGAACACAATACTCACTTTTATAAGAGGTGGTTATCCCAATACCAATTACGCAAAGTACAATTGCAAAAAAGGGCTTCGAGTAAGCAGGACATATCGGTTTTGAAAGCTGCAGACAATCTTATCTGGGCCCTTGTATGCCAGGGAAAATACCCGGAGGCGAAGGGAAATCTGGAGCAACAAACTCGGGCTCTGAGGAGCCTCTATGGGGAGGATAGTCGTCCGCTTCTAAGGAGCTTTCGAATGCTGGGCTGGGCGCTAGCAAATGATGATAACCTAGGTGACGCGGAGAGTTTGATCGCCAACACTACAGCGAAGTGTGAAGAATTCTTTGGAGAAAACGATCTGGACACGCTTACCTGTTATAATGCCCAAGGCGTTCTATATCGTATGGAAGGGGTTGTGTCCAAAGCAGAGGAGTTGATCAGGAAGGCTGCTGAAGGCAGGACAAATCGGCTGGGTCGCCCTCACCCAAGCACGCTCAATGCTCTCACTAATCTCTCCATGGTATTAGCTTCACAAGCCAACAAATTCGATGAAGGGGAAACTTTGGCAAGAGAAGTTCTAAGCTTACGGCAGAAGAAGCTCGGAGAGTACCACACTTCAACTCTCGTGAGTGTGGTCAATTTGATGCGCATCCTCCTTGAGGGCCGCGATACGTATGGACGCGCATATGGGTCTGAGATAAAGGAACTTCAGGCCAAACTTGGGGAGGCCCTGGATAAAGGAGTGTGGGGGGCGGATATATTGGACAGCGAGCTAGGAACTACTAGGCTTGATGGAGACCTTGGGGTGCTTCCTGTCTTCCGGACTTCTCGGTTCGGACCTAAAGAGTGGATACGGAGTCATATTCCTGACTGGAGCAAACGGCATAAGCAGCCTGCCCATTCACGTCTTCCAACAACATTTGAAAGGGTAGATCTTCGGACTTATCTGAGTGCGCTGCAGCAGACACAATAGTTTTACATTACCTCGTCACATCACAGACAGTATCGGGAGGTCTAATATAGCACGGAGAATACTGGTCTCCAGGTGAATTTTTACAGATAGAAGTAAGGGGAGTATGCTTTGAAGAAAAGTTTCGCATGGCGAACTTGTAACTTTGAAGTACCCCTAGATAGGAAGAAATGATATCAGTGATTTAGGCTCCGAGCTAGCTTCTAACAGCATTACATGTGTACAATGTTCAATGCTAGCAAATACTAAAGAGAGTACCCTTTTAGCCTGGTTGTGTCCTTTCCATCCAGTCTTTGCGCCTGTCATTGGTTTGGAAAACAAGCATCCCCGGATATCAGTCTATCAAGTGACGCCACAATAAGGAGTTACAGGAGGCAAAAGGTATTAATTTGTCAAAAGAAGAAACTCTCGCCCAATAATTCAGCGACAAAGTCCAATTTTTCCCCCTACGACATTGAGACGCACCTTTGGGTTGGCTACTGATTACCAGGCCTATATATCGAGGTTAGTTGCCGGAGTTCTTGACCTTTTCGAGCGTTTCAAGCGATTTGCTGCGATATAATTGCCTGCTCTCTTTTCTCTTGCATGATCCTTAAAAGCTTTCCTCGGTTTTAGTTGCTGTAATGGCGGCCGCCGACTTAGCGCCTGCTAGGTAGGTCATTTACAGCCTGGCTCAGTAGGGCCAGCAGCATAAAATATTCGCACTAACATCTTGGCCATGGGGCTGGAAAGTAATCGTCGTATGCATGTTGGTCAAACCGATTTTGAGAAAGGCTATAACAGTTCTATCTCCCTATATACTCTTACCCTACCACTACCCAGGCCCTGACTTGTCATTGGCCCAGACATGGTATCAGCAACCCCTGATTGGCCAGATGATAATCTCCAGCCACTCACAACACTTTAACAGCCCCACAAGACCCTCTGCCATGACGCAATTGGCTGGCCGGTGCCGAGGGGAAACATGCCCCAGAAAATTATTGATAACCAACTCCAGATCCCCATTTTTATCCCCATTTCTCCATCTCCACTTTTTCCTCACTCTCCCTCTGGCATGGCTTCATGCCTACCTTCAACACCACCTCGAACGATCTAGGGCTCGACCACCACATCAGCTCCCTCATCGTCGAGCAATATGTCTACCCAACCTTCATCGCCATCGCCTGGTGCAACGCCATCGACCTGATCGTGCTCTGCTTCAACACCTTCAAGCGCTACTCCGGCACCTACTTCTGGTCCCTCCTCGTGGCCTCCTTCTGCATCATCCCCTTCGGCCTCGGCTACGTCCTCAAGATCTACAGCATCACCTTTACAAACTACTTCCTCGAGATCGCCATCCTCGATGTCGGCTGGGCGGGAATGGTCACGGGGCAGTCGCTCGTCCTCTGGTCGCGGCTGAATCTCGTCTTTGATAACCGCCGCGCCCTGAGAGCACTGCTATACCTGATCATCGTCGACGGGGTCGTGCTGCACTCCTCCTGCACGGCGCTCGAGTTCGCGACGAATGCGCTGCCCGGGTCGGACGGCGTCGCGACCGCATTCGACGTCATGGAGCGCATACAGCTCGTCGGCTTCTGTCTGCAGGAACTGCTGCTTTCGGGGCTGTATATCTACAAAGCGGTGCCGCTGTTGAAGATAGATGCGGATCGCCGCTCGCACGGGGTCCTGGTGCAGCTGATCGTCATCAATGTGATCATTATGGCGTTGGATGTGTCGGTCGTGGTCGTGCAGTATCTGGGGTTCTTTACCTTTCAGGTTACCTTCAAGGTACTGGTGTATAGCATCAAGCTGAAGCTAGAGTACGTCATTTTGGGCCGGTTGGTGGATGTGGCGCATGTGCGGACCCCCGGTATTGCGCGGATGAGGTTATAGTTGGTATCACGCTTGTCTATATTTATAGATTTCTTCTTGTCTATATTATTTGTCTATATATATTGTCTATATAATGATGTCTACTCCGACCTGGCACTCTTGGTCTTCTTGCTCCTCAGCTTCATCATCAAAAACACCATCGCATAGCTCGAAATGCAAAACAGCGCCGTAATCCCGGTCTGCATCGTCAGTATCTCATCTTGTCATCCGGAACAGGGCAAACCTACATCTCTCCAAGAATAATACCGCTCCTTCAGATTAAACGTCCGCGCATAGTCCGCCCCAGTGGAATACTGGCAGAACTCGCAGGCCGTCGCATTCCCATCAACCAGATACCCCGGCTTCTCCGCCAGAAACGCAGCCATGTACTCGCCGCACGTCTGTCCCGCCGGCGCACTGAACCGCACCAGTTCCGACGGCTCGCAGCGCACCTGCACATCCCAGAGGACCTCGCCGAGCAGGCCTCCGACCAGGTACGTGAACGGATCGAGGTAGTACAGCCAGTACCGCCAGAATGGCTGCATCTGCGAATAGGGCACCACCACACCGCAGAAGCTGACCAGCCCCGCGCCGAGCAGCACGGGGTTCATCACCGCCGCGAAGTACTCGTTGGGCGCGTATGCCGCGATCCCCTGCCCGATCGACGTGTACAGGAACTCGTAGAAGATCATCTGCAGGTACATGTGTCCCGAGATGCTGGCGGTGGCGGGGAATCCTGCGGTGAAGTACCAGCAGGCGAAGTAGAGGGTGGCGCAGAGGATGAGGTAGGGGATTTCGGAGACGGTCTGGGCGCCGATGAAGGCGAGCCAGTGGTAGATTTTGGACTACCATAGCATTAGCATTAGCACTTGGTGACAGTAGAGGCCAAGGGGCAGAATACCTTCTTTTCTCTCGCTTCGAAAATATCCCGGTTGTGCAGGAAGAACGGCTGCATCTGGTTGATGCACCCCGGCGCAACAAATATGAAATTGAAAATCGCAAACAGCCGCAGCTGCAGGTCAAACGTGCCGTCACCGATCTTCCAAAAGGTGAAGCCGCTGAAGAGCGCCGCAAACACATGCAGAATAATCTTATTCCAGACGTAGTCCGGCGACCGCCACAACTGCACCATCAGCCGCTTGGTCACCATCGTAAACTGGAACCATTTCGAGGTCGCGAAGTCGGCAGTATCCTCAACGTAGTTGGTGTCGGCTTTGCCGCGGGCGTTGAGGTCTTGCAGCTGGGTAAGGGCGCGCTGTTTCTCCTCGGACTCGTTCCACACCTGCACCCAATCGATCGGCTTGTCCGTGTTGCCTTGAATCACCTCGACGATGTGCTCGGCGGGGTTTTCGTCCAGTGGACACGGCGCTCCATGCCGAGCGAAGTAGTCCAGGACGATCTGCGAGTCTTTGCCTGTTTCACCAAAGTACGCCATCTTGCCGCCGCGAGCGAGCAGCAGGAGCGAGTCAAAGGCCTCGAAAAGAACAGCGGAGGGCTGATGGATCGTGCACAACACCGCCTGGCCGCCGTCGACCAGCTTCCGCAGGAACCGGATGATGTTGTACGCGGACTGTCCGTCTAAACCGCTGGTGGGTTCATCCAGAAAGAGCAATGTCGGTTTGGCGACGAGTTCCACGCCGAGCGTGACTCTCTTCCGCTGCTCGATGCTCAACCCGGCGCCAGGGACTGTCGGCATCGTCAGTATGGATCTACAGTATTGGCGGGGTACCTACCTCCAATCAACGCGTCGCTGATATCCCGCAGCTCCAACAGATCAATGATGTGATCTACGTAGGCCAGTTTCTCCTCCCGCGGAACATGAGCCGGCTGGCGCAGGAGCGCTGAAAACACCAAAGCCTCCTGGACCGTGGCCGTCGCCTCGTGCACGTCCATCTGCTCGCAGTATCCCGTCGTGCGCTGGAAACTGATTCCTTGCGGCCGGCCGTCAATCAAAATCGAACCATAGATCTCGCCGCTGTCCTTGCGTTGGGCCAGCACATCCAGAAGTCTGTCACGTTAGCTACATTGAACTTATGGAACGAGCGCCGCACTTACGTCGTCTTTCCAGCACCTGAACACCCCATCAGCGCAACCAGGTTCCCTGGCTTCACGAACCCAAACACCTTATCCAGGAGCTGCTTCTTCTCGCCCTGGTAGGGTACATGATAGTCGAGGTCATGCCAGGTGAAGGTCGACTGCTTGACATGCGACTCCAGCGCGGCCTCCTGCACCGGGGTCGGGGTTTCTCCCGATTTTGTCTTCTGGCTCCCCCGCTTGTACAGCAACACAGACGATCCGCCCTGGCTATTGAGCAACTCGAGCCCCATCGCCGTCAAGACGATAAAGAAAACCCAGAAGCCGACAATCACCCCGAAGCTCCGCCAGATGTGATGCCACGAGTAACTGTACTGCGCGCGGATATACTCCGCCCCCATAATCATGTCGCCCTCGCTCCCGGGAATCGAGCACCCCCGGTACGGGGATTCCGAGCCGGGATATCCAGACCCGTAGGGAATGTAGTCCGGCTGCACGCACTGGAGCGATTTCCCGACGAACTCGTTGGCCATGAGGGCCTCGAAGGCGTATGCGCCGGGGTTGAGGTAGAAGATCCAGCGGAACCAGACGTGCATTTTCTCGTATGGGATGAGGTAGCCTACGTCGTTAGTGACGTCTTTAGAAAAGTGAAATATGCTTACCTCCATAGACAAAGAAAATGGTCGATAGCAGCCCGGTGATCTTGGATGCGTTGCCGAATCGCTTGCAGAGGGCGCCCACCGCGCGGAACATCTGCATGAAACAGAGCGTGTTTGCGATGACAATAATCCAATAAGTGAAAAACCGACCGGCGTCCATCTGCAGGGCTGCCATAAAGTATAGGATGATGCAGAAACAAGAGACCTGCACGAGGACCACAGGGATGTCGGTGATGGCGTTGGCGATGCAGAATGCCGTCGGCCGGTAGAATCCGAACCGCTTCTGGCGTGAGAGAATAGGCCGGCCCATGAACGAGGCGGTCGTTTCGGACATGGATTCAAGAAGGAAATAGAGAACAGGGAAGAACAGCGCGCCCGGGCGCAGGAAGATGGACGAGCTGTCGTCTTTGAGGTTGTAGAACAGACTTCCGCAGACCAAGGCCTGCAGGATGGCTGATACCACCTTGATTATGAGAGACAGTCTGTCTCCTGCCATAATCTGGAACTGGCGGATGGTGCACGCCCGTATCTGCTCCCAGAGACTTGTGGTATAGACACTTGGGGCCCGAGGTAAATGCCGCTTGCGTTTCTCACTGGCCACGGCGGCCGTCAGCTCGTCCACCTCGTGGGTGAGTTTCTCCGGCGGGTCAACACCTTCCATTGCTTTTTGATAGATATCGCTCTGGCGATAGCGGCTCTCGAATTCGTCCGCGCTGCTGGGAACTTTGTCCTCCATCCCGGGCCGTACAATGCGCTCGGTGAGCACAGTCACAGAGGTCAGAAAGTCAGCGATATTGGCTCCCTTCGGACAGACGAAGCCCATATCCTCGAAATAGCTCCTTGCCAGCTGGCGCGGTCCGTAATAGGTCACCCGTCCGTCGGCCAGAACCAGAACCTTGTCGAACTCGTTGTAGATGCCGTTGCCAGCCTGGTACATGGTGGCCACCATAGTCTTGTGGTTAATGTCCGCCTCGCGGCGCAGCAACCGGGCGAATTCAACAGCCGTCTTGGAGTCGAGACCACGGGTCGGATTATCCCAGAATTGTATCGGGCTCTGTCCGGCAATCACCTCGGCGAGCGACACACGCTTCCGTTCACCACCAGAGACACCGCGGATAAACTCGTTTCCTACCAGCGTCTTCGTCGTGTGCGGAATCCCCAGCGAATCGAGGATCGCATCCCGCTGCTCCTGCACAAACTCCTTGGACCCTTGTCCGTCCGGCCGTTCCCGGGGCACCTTATTCCGCAGCGCAAACTTCATCGTGCGGTTGACCGTCAGCGTGGGGAAGTGCACGTCGTCCTCGTTGTTGAACATTATCTGCTGCCGGAAGCGTCTCGCAGCGACGTGGTCCATACTCCCGTATTGGGTTTCGCCGACGACTTCGTCAAAAGATTCGCGGTCGTTGGAGAGGACGCGCAGAAGCGAGGTACATCCTGACCCGGGACGACCAAGCACCAGTAACTGACAGGTTAGCTACATCACCACGGCATCAGCTTTAACTTACCATTTCGCCTGGTTTGACCTGCCCACTGACATCTTTCAGGATAGTCTATTCCGTTAGCACTTGCCTTGTCACAACGGCTTCGACATACCCTTTTCGGCCGACTCCCTTTCAAGAAACCCAGGTACTGCCGCGGATCAGCCACGGAGAGAAGTGTGTCTCCCAAGGCAGCATCCGGCGCTGTAACGTGGACACTGACATTCCGAAATGTGAGGGTTAGTCGCTTTCGTAGGCCCCTCTCGCCATGTTCGAGGTCGATCGTGCCGGATGAGGGAGTGTCCATTCTGCACGATCTGCTCAACCTTTCAAACAAGCAACTCGCCCATGGATACAGCTCTTCCAACCTAATTCATTCCAAGCCAACCTATTTATACAAAGTCAGTTTCATGCGCATCAGATTGACCCGTAAATCCGTAGATCCGTGGCGTACATCCGCAAATCCGTGTCCATCATGGCAACTCTCCGCCAATCATATCCCTCCCTTCTCCTTAGCATGCCGGGCATCGGATATATTTCTCATAGTAGCCCTAAGACTAAGACCGGTGCGTAGCAACATCTCCACCCAGCGAAGAATTTCTCGACACTATTGGAGCTCTAGATCTCGAAGCTACAAGCTCGACAAGCTGGCCCACTTGCTGATCTTCTCCTCCCCGAATTCCGTGGCTCATGCCGGCAAACAGCTCGCGTCTTATCGGCAATGGATTGGGTGTTTGTCTTAGCTGTTACTCTCAAGGGAGAGGCCTTTGTGGATGGCATTAGTCTGGCTTGTTTCATATTTAGAACCCGATCGATGAGACAAATGCTCGGATCGTCCCGTAATGCCGACGGCCACAAGCTCAATATTTCACCCTCGGACTTACCTTAGGAATAATGGCCTGCCACCCAGCACAGAGCCCATTAGCGAATTACCGGTTGCAGGGAGGCTCCTGCTGAGGGTGTCAGCCCTATAGGCACTATTAGCATACATAGCAGCCTATGTGCGGATGACATACCGGTTCACGCTCTCGAGTAGGGCTGATCTGGTCATTCAAGGTCATCCTCCACGTTTCTTCGCTGTGCTGTCCAGACCGATTTCATGTTCTCAAGATGAAAGAACTTCCGAGTTAATATTTCATAAAGGATGCGGTCTTTGAGTCTGTCCAACAGTTGACATCCTATGGTTGATGAGAGATCGGGCGCCACTTCACTGGAGAGCAAACGATGTTAGACGTATATTATTCAATTGAAGCAGGCTGGTTTTACGATCATTAACATCACTTGTCTTTTTTTAGAGGTGGAAATGACTGTCGGCCCAATCCTGGTGGTACATCAATTCACATCCATCATCAGTATCCAGTATCACATGTCAGCGCCGACGACGTGGTCACATACATCCCTTCAATCCTGGATTGCTTCACTGATTTGTCAGAACACATGTTACGTTGCTTTGTAATAATTTATACACTTGAGAGAGATTGACTCACAGAACTCCACACAGAACTCCAGTATGCCAAGTAGCCAAGGAGCAATACGAGCTCCATCTCAGATCATGACACACGGTTTATATCTACGAACGAAGCTTAGAAATACAGAATTGGTAAGCAAGTTGTACTGTTCACATTCGGATAGAAACAGAGGAAGCATATATAGTTCCAAAGCATGCTCGCAGAGTCCAATTCATTTTCCAAGAACCTCAACCTCAGCTCCAGCTCCCAAAAACCACACAGTACAATGTCCTACACCAACAAAACAGCCATCGTCGTCGGCGGCAGCCACGGCATCGGCCTCGCAACGGCCCAGCTCCTCCTGGACCAAGGAGCCAAAGTCCTCGTCACCGGCCGCAGCCCAGATCCCATCCGCTCGGCACAAGCCCAGCTCGGCCCCGACGCCAAAGTCGTCGCTTGCGATATCACCTCCGTAAGCGCTATCAGCGCCCTATCCGATACAGCCTCGTCCTTCTTCGGGACAGGCCGCACAATCGACCTCCTCTTCATCAACGCCGGGTACGCCGCCCTCGAGCCCTTTGCGGGCGTCTCGGAGGCCTCCTTCCGCCGCACCTTTGACACAAACGTCTTCGGCGCGTTCTTCACCGCGCAGAAACTCGCGCCGATGGTTAGGCCAGGCGGCGCAATCGTGTTTACCACCTCTGTCGCGAATCAGATGGGGATCCCCGGGATGAGCGTGTACGCTGCTTCCAAGGCGGCGGTGCACTCGTTTGTGCAGACGCTGGCGGCGGAGCTGGTGGGTGCGCAGGTGCGTGTGAATGCTGTCTCGCCCGGTTTCGTGAAGACGCCAACGATGGGGGTTGTTGGGGCGTCGAAGGAGGAGTTGGTGGAGTTTGAGGGGCAGGGGGCGAAGGGTACGCCGATGGGGAGGATTGCGGACCCGGCGGAGGTGGCCAAGGCTGTGGTGTTTTTGGGGTTCGAGGCGACGTTCACCACGGGAGAGCAGGTTGTTGTTGATGGGGGGTTGACTACGTTGCGACTGCACTGAGACTATTTCGATAGTATACGGCAGCTGATAAGTCTACTGATAGAATGAAATAAAAAAGTATGTGCCTCATCAAAGAGTTGCAGTTCACACTTAGATCCAAGACCGAAAAACCTGTCTGCTTTACGGCTCGACTCCTATTGTCAGGCTCTGCACCAGTACTGCCTTCTCTTCAGCGTCGTTTGATCTGGTCTGTCGATCATTTCATACACAGCGAGGTCTCAGAGCTGAGGATATACACGGACAGCAGATAATACGTGAACGATGGCAAGCTAGGTGGAAAATAAAAGCTGTAACTACGCGGTGGATGGATAGTTTACGTCAGCGTTGGATGGCCGATCGCTCATTGCACCTGATCCAGCCGAAAGCTCATATCTGGTGCGTTGGCCCTGCGAACGGAAGTATCTGGCCAATCCGAATGACGGCATTGAGCTTTTCTCCTGGTGACGTTTCTCTAAGTGGCTTCCTTAATCAAATTTTCAAGTTTAATCTTTCAAGGTGGCTAAAAGGCTAGTTATCTGTAGCTCGGCCTCTCCTCAGACGAGGGCTTTGTCATTCTTCAACATACTAACTCCTGATTCCTATTTTAGCTCGATTTGATACCATGTCCCTGCTATAAGCATGCCTGCAATCCCACCATTCAGTGCAGTCTCTCAAGAAAAAGCAGTGTAACCGTGGCAAAAAGGTCTTCGATTTCTTCGGACTAACTTGTCTGCTCCAAAGCAAGTCACGGGCCTTGTGAGCTCAATGCCTCATAGTGCACAAATCGCTCCCGTTTGAATCTCAATGTCACAACAAGATTACAGATAAATTGGAAGAGCCCAATAAAGCCAACCAACAGAATCGCAACGAGCGGTCCAAGAATAGAAAAGACAGTGAAACCATATGACGCTCTCTGAAAGGCAAGGTTGCCACTCAGTCGTGTGGTAGCCAATCCTACCTGCATTGCCGTCAACACCAACGCGACATATATAGTCGTCGCGGTTAGAGGTGCGAGATAGTCGCGGAATAGCTCGCCGTATGTCTGATATGATAACCGATAACCTCGTAAAATACTACCGTAACGAAAAGTATGGATTTTGTTGAGTCGTGAGAGCCTAAGTTCGCCGAACAAGTATCGTTTGTTGATATTTCTGGGATTAGCGGCTCCGTTTTGCAAAAGCTGTTGGACCAATATATGCCAGCCTTCCCAGGTGACACTTTCCGGTAAGAGGTGATGGTCTTGGGCAATCGTGAAGTCACTTTCGCACTGAATCAGCGCGATGTAGGAATATAAAAATCCAAGGCTATATTGATAGAGCTTTTTTCGCTGACAAGTCCCGTCTCTCGCTGTTCCGCGATATTCATGCCCGGGTAGACACGGACACGGTTTTGTGCAGATCAGGTGGGAATGCCAGAATTGATGATTCAGGAGGTATCGCGGGATCGGCTTCAAGTGTATGCGCCGGGAATGCTCCCAGACCATGTGCATGTCAATTCTCTCATCTGGGACAATGTCTCGCGATGCTGCGGCCTGATAATTCAGGGGTCTGGGCGGCATAGGTCGCCCAGCCAACCATAGGTATTTGTGAATCTTATTAAGACATTCGACAGAGACGTCCTTGTGTAAAAAGCGGGAAATATCCGCGGTAGGCGTGCGAAGTGTATAGTGCTCGTCGCGAAAGGCAGCAGGCGTATAGGGAGTACTTGAAATGGAGGCTTCTGGACTGAATGGTGGCTTTGCAGTCATGCTTATAGCAGAGATGGTATTAAATCGAGTTCAAATTAGGTTGTAAGTCGATGAGCTGAAGAGTGACAAAGCCGCAGCCTAAGGAGAGGCCCCAGCTACTTATAGCCTATAGCCATCATGGATCTGGAATCTGGAAGTTAATTGATTTCCTTGTTGAAAGAAGGCCTTGACTGAGTGTTCTCTGGGAGAAAAGCTCAGTGTCGTCATTCAGATTAGCTAGAATCTTTGAGGCTGGCTAGACTCCATCTGCAGCGCTAACGCACTACTAGTTACCAAGCTTTTCAGCTAGATCAGGTGCGCCGAGCGATTGGCGATCCAAGGTTAACGTAAATCATCTGCTCTAACATGTATTTTCTCATGATCAAGTCGCAACCCTCAACGTATCATGATGATCTCACCTTTTATACCTGACTTCAAAAAGAAGGCATCTTATCATTCATTCAAATTTTGAAATTGTCTCAATTTGTATATGCTTCCCTTTAATTCTCTTGGCCGTGATCCTGAAAATATGAGATAATGGATATGTCGGGGCAGGGTGTCCGCCTTTGCCAAGTCTACCCCACTTCCGAGGACGATACCAAAACAGACATCGACATCATTGCCATTCATGGTCTCGACACAAAGTCGCCGGACACGTGGGTATGGCGGGCCAGTAGCTTTGATAAGCACGGCGTAAATTGGCTAGCCCATCCGGATATGCTCCCGGAGAAGGCAGAACAGGCTCGGATTTTCTATTGCGACTGGCCGGCCTGTCTTTTCAACGAACAAAGCACGATCGGTTTGACGATCACGGAGCTTGCCAGGTGCTTGCTGCTTGGTATCCGCTCTCGACCTGGGGCAGACAACAATCGACCCCTCCTGTTCATCGCCTCGTGTCTCGGTGGCGTCATCCTAAGTCGGGCCCTGGTAATCGCCGCCCAGCTCGGAAGCGAATATGCTTCTGTCTGGAGATCAACGGGCGGCGTGGTTTTTCTTGCCACGCCGTTCAGAGGGACTGCATTTAAGGACCTAGCTAGGGTAGCAGTCGCTTTTTTGAAAGGCTATGCGATGCTCGCAGACAGAGCAGTGACAAACCTGCTCGACAGTGTGACGGCATCGACTCCTTTCCTTGAGGACCTTGTTGGCGATTTCACGGGCATATGTCAGCAACGGGATCCGCCATGCCAGTTAGCAATCTTTTATGAGACAGAAGAAACTAACTTATTGCGAAAGGCTCTGCCTTTACTACCACAATTGGCGGATATCCTGAACAAGCCAAAAAAGGTAAGTCGGTACGGCTCTTGGACAATTTAGTTCTTATCCTGAGATTCGGGCTCGAAGATATGAGGCCACTTGTTGACACGTTTTAAGTTAGTTGATAGCGGCTCTGCCCGTCTCGACATGGTCCCGAACCCAATTCCCCTTAAGCGGTCCCATATTTTAATGAACAAGTTTCCTGGTCCAAACGACCCGGATTATGTTGCTGTTGCTGGAAAGATTCGAATCCTTATTGACGATATTTGTGAGGCGTCTTCGCTCAAGAAAGCGGACGACTGGATACGTTACAATCACTATACGCCGGACAGACTCGAGATTGAGCGGCTCTCGGGTGAGACATTGTCAATGGAGCAGTGCTATATCAATCTTGCCCTAGTGGAGCAGCTCGGTGACATAGAGAGTCACTCAGAGGAAGGAGATGCACAGCCGTCTCCATTCTCATTTGCCGCTCGACTGAAAGTCGAGACACCGGAGAAGAATCTTCAAGTCGACTTGCGGACAATCTTCGAAAAGTGTAAACGGCCAAGACGTCCTACAACAGAACCAAGGAGAATCTTGATTCTAGGTCGCGCCGGAGTTGGGAAGACGGTCTTGTGCAAAAAGATTGTCTATGACTTTATCCATCACGATACTTGGAAGGACTTGTTCGACCGCGTACTTTGGGTGCCCTTACGGAACTTGAAGGGAAAGTCTAAGGAAGGATACAACCTTGCAGATCTGTTTTTCCAGGAATATCTCTCCCAAACCCCAAAAGGGAAGGTCCTCGCCCATGAACTATGGGTTGCATTGAAGGCCAGCAAGTATCGAAGAACGCTCTTTGTCCTCGACGGCTTAGATGAAGTTTCGGCAGAATTGGATGAAAGCAGCAAGGTGTTCTCTCTCCTCCAGTTTCTGCTACAACTGCCCAACGTCATTATAACATCCCGCCCACATGGATCACTTCCATACTGGCTCAAATGGACTTTCGATCTCGAATTGGAAGCCATCGGATTTTACCCGGATCAAGTAAATGACTACATCAAAAACGCTTTCACTAGACCAGAAACGGGTGAAGCCGATTTGGAGAAGGTTGATAAAGTTCAATCATTCCTCCAAAAACATCAACTAATCCAAGGACTTGTGCGGATCCCGACTCAACTTGACGCCCTCTGTTACACCTGGGATGATTTCGATGGCAAGTCTATACCGCAGACGATGACCGCTGTTTACCACGCTATCGAACAACGCTTGTGGAAGAAGGATGCCGTGAGGCTGGAGAAACAGACTCAGGCTCAAATGAATGTCGCTCGTCCCAGGGAGATCAGGAGCTCTGTCCAGGCTGAGGCCTACCTCCTTGAAATCATCGCGTTTACTGGAATGCACAACGATGTAATAGTCTTCGAGCCAAAGCATTGCGACGCTATCTTCGAACAATTCGAACCTCCCAGGACGGATCTCTTCCTTGATGAAACTCTCTGCCGCCTCTCGTTTCTACGCACGTCGGACCCTTCATTAAAGGAACGCAATCAGAATTACCATTTCATACATCTGACATTCCAAGAGTATTTTGCCGCTCGGTATTTTGTGCGGCAGTGGGAAGCTCGAGAACCGCTCACATGTTTGATGCTCAACAGCAGAAAGATTGAGAATGTCTACCCTGTCGAGTTCCTCAGGAGGCATAAATATCACACCCGCTACGATATCTTGTGGCGTTTTGTTGCCGGCTTACTTGATTCTAAGGGAGAGGCAGAGACGCTCCGCTTCTTCAAAGTGATTGGTGAGAAGCCGCTCGACCTCTTGGGTCCTACGCATCAACGGCTTGTCATACACTGCTTAAGCGAGGTTCGCCACCCATTTCCACTTCGAAGCAAACTCGAAGGCCATCTATCAAGGTGGTTGATATTTCAATGCCAGAAAATCAGGGAGTGGGATGTACCTGATGTACCCTTCCTGTGGCTAGACACTCTGGCAAGCGAGATCGAGTTCCCTGAGCAAGCCATAGCCGACGTCCTACAAAAAGAAGAGGATGATGTGAGGATGGTCGCTCTCAGGTCGATGGAATCGCGGCGCGGAATTCCCCTTCAAGTCACAGAAATCGTGACTTCCTGGCTTCAAGGCGGGGTATCCGATAGATTGACAAGATCTGTACTGCACCTGTTCCAGAGTTCGAGGGATCAGTTACCGCGCGCTACTCTCAATATGATACAGGAACGGCTTGTTGACCGAGATCCAGGCGTCAGAAGTGCTGCTATCGAGGCCCTAGGGCACCAATTGAACTTATCGGAAGAGACCCTTGATATGATAGGGGTAGGGCTTGTTGACCAAGATGTGGGCGTCAGAATGGCTGCTGTCGGCACCCTAGGGCACCAACAGAACTTATCAGAAAGGACTTTCAACAAGATAGCAGCGCGACTTGAGGATCAAGATAGTAGTGTTCGAGTTGCAACTGTTAACGTTCTATGGCCCCAGACAAACCTGCCAGAAGGGACCCTCAACCAGATAGTGGCGCGACTTGAGCATCAAGATTGGGGCATCCGAATAGCTGCCATTGAAGCCTTGGCTCACCAAAGGAACCTGCCGGAAGGGACCCTCAACCAGATAGTGGCGCAGCTCAAGCACCAAGATAGAGATATTAGAGTTGCAGCCATCCACACCCTAGGGCTCCAGACAAGCCTGTCAGAAGGGACCTCTAACCAGATAGCAGCGCAGCTTGAGGATCAATTTCTAGATGTTAGAATGGCTGCTAGTAATGCCCTAGGGTGCCAGACAAACTTGCCAGAAGGGACCCTCAACCAGATAGTAGCGCGACTTGAGCATCAAGATTGGGGCATCCGAATAGCTGCCATTGAAGCCTTGGCTCACCAAAGGAACCTGCCGGAAGGGACCCTCAACCAGATAGTGGCGCAGCTCAAGCACCAAGATAGAGATATTAGAGTTGCAGCCATCCACACCCTAGGGCTCCAGACAAGCCTGTCAGAAGGGACCTCTAACCAGATAGCAGCGCAGCTTGAGGATCAATTTCTAGATGTCAGAATAGCTGCTAGTAATGCCCTAGAGCACCAGATAAACTTGCCAGAAGGGACCCTTAATCAGATAGCAGCGCGGCTCAAGGATCAACAACCAGATGTTAAAATAGCTGCTATTAACATCCTAGAGAAGCAGATAAACCTGCCTGAAGTGATACTGGACCAGATAGTGGCGCAGCTTGATCATCAAAGTCAAGATATCAGAAGGGCTGCCAGTAACACCCTAAAGCAGCAGTCAAACCTGCCAGAAGGGACCCTCAATAAGATAGTGGCGCAGCTCAAACATCAAAGTCCAGACGTCAGACGGGCTGCCATTGACACCCTAGTGCACCGGTCTAACTTGCCAGAAGGAACCCTCAACCAGATAGCGGCACAGCTCAAGAGTCAACAATTAATTAGCTTTCGTGAAGTCGACCAGCTGACGTCTATGTTAATGCAACACCGAGAATTCCATCCTGTCTGCCTGGTTGGCGGTCACGCACAAGGATTACTTCCCCATCTACTGAAGCAAAGTTTTAAGAGACATATGGCTTGGTATATCTGGGCCGGGAAGTCTTTCCTTGAAACAGACAATGGTCTCGGATGTGTAGGGTTGTCGGAAGGACAACTCAATTTAGAGGTGACTATAGAACGGGCGCGAGAGGACGCCGCTATGCCTGTGGTAGCGGTGTCGCATGAAGTCGAAGGAACAGTCTAGGAGGGGGCCAGATTGGACGCCGAAATTGAATAGACAACCATCTGGTATTGCTTAATTATCATGAGTCCTTAAGAAGTACGGTCATTGAAATTTTCATGCAATATGTGCTTCAGTTACACTAGTGCTTGGAACATATTGATGGTCCAGCCTTTATTGAAGGACGCTTAGCAGATGTATGCCTAATTAACGATCATAGCAAATAGTGTTCACAGCCTGGCATGGCCATCAATAGGGCTTTGTGTATGATGCTTTAAAGGATCCAAACCTATTCTAATTATATCAATCAACTAGGATTTATCTAAGCAACCAGGCTCTACAGAATCTCAGAATCCCTTCTAGTAGTAGTCATCGTTATGGGTAAGGATAGATCCGCTCCCAGCGCCGAACCGTTATCCTAAAGAAAAATATCGCAACATAAACATCTCCCCAAAGTATATTCTCACCTCATCTTTCACATGATACACATTCTAGGTATCTCTCCTGCAGCTGGCGCAAGATCCAGATCAAGTCCAATGAATGCCTAGTATGACGTACAATCCACATGCCACGCGCCGCCATCCATGCCGACCACATTCCATCCAGATAAATACCTCACCTCGATACACAGCAAACACGTACATAAATACCCCATCGCCTTCCCTCACGGAATATCCCAAACACAAAATCGGAAAATGAAATCCACTCTCTTCCTCCTCGCGCTAGCCGGCGCTGCCCTAGGCGCAAAAACATGCACGCCGAGTTTCGATTACTGCGCTAATAAGCTCATTGCTGACAAGGGTATTTCTTCAGTCCCTCACGCTTCCATGATGGCAAGTACTAATGGATGCAGGCTTTACCGAGGCGGACCTCGAAGCTGTTCTCAAGGGGACGGATCTGGAGACTGCGGACCTGAAGAATGTGCTCTTCCACTGCACAAATCCTGGGGATGTGGGGCATGCAAAGCTGTGTCCTAATGGGTGTACGGACCCACCTACGGAAGGGAGTCATGGTTGTTAGTTGTCTTGAGAATTTTTGATATGCTGGTGGAGCACATGCTAAGAAGTTCCTGTGTTGGTGTATTGGTGTATTGGTGAACGTGGAAGGTTGTTACATTGAAGTTGTGCTATACAACTTGTACAATTTGCTGGCAAAGTCATGTCATGCGATATTCATCACTCGTTTTAAATCACGCAGTGAAAGAGGTTTCACAAGATAATCATCGACCCCCGCAGCAAATGCCTGTTGCTGCATCGTCGCCGACGCGACTCCTGTCACGGCCATGATGGCAGCCCGGGGAAGGGAATTCTCCTCCTCGTACTCTCGAATCTTGCCCGTGGAGGTGATCCCGTCCATAACTGGCATGGAAATATCTATCGCCTGTTAGTTGGGCCATGAAGCTCAAAGGATGCAACCTACCCATCAGGATATAGTTGAACCGGTGCTCGGACTGCTGGTACTTCTCCAGCGCCACGAGTCCATTATTCGCTGTCTCGTAGCTGCATCCGATGCGACGCATAAAAGTAGCCAGTATCTTGAGATTGATATCATTATCGTCCACTATCAGGACATGAAGATCGACTGTTCTCGAGGCCTTGGGTGTCGAGGCACGGAACTCGTCCACGGTTTCCTCCACCACGGGTGGCGACTCGGTCTGTTTTGCCAGGGCAAAAGCTTCCGATAAGCTACGCCCACGGGATGGGATACTATCGGCATGGCCGATATGAGGCGCACCTTCGGGCAAGCTGGAAATTGTATGCAGCGCGCCGATAATTTTTCGAGGCGTGAGTCTATCCTGTTAGTTTCGCACTTGCTCGGAATTTGGTGCTACTTACGGTTGAGGAACGTAGACCACATCCAGCTCTTTCGTGACAGGATCGATTGGTAGGTTACTACCACACTGTCCTAGTATGGCCAGTCCTCTCAGTTCTGTAGTTATTGGCTGCTTTCCATCCATCTCGGCCAGACTGCTCTCCTCGATAATACCAATATCGCCCTTGGCTTGAGACAAAGTGTCGGCAAAGGAGACTGTCCAGCCGGGCTGGCTGAGGACTGCATTACTCAGAGCACTGCGGACTGACAGCCTCCTCTTCGCGTCAACGCTCAGTCTTCGGCCTGAGCTCTTCAGGTTGGAAAATACGTTCAGTCCGACCAGGCTCACTCGGGAGACCGAACCACTCTCTGGTTGCTCTTGCCCAGACGCACCACCCACCAGCGTATCGACAAATTCGACCGGAATGTACACTTCGAATTGAGTTCCGGTACCGACGGTACTCTTCACATCAATCTGGCCACCCACATTTGTCACTAATCGGTCGACGATACTGAGTCCGAGGCCAACTCCTTCGGTCAGGATGTTCTCTTGAGTAAATGGCTGAAAAAGTTTGTGCTCCAGGTACTCCGGAGAGATGCCACATCCGGTATCTGTGATTGTCAATAGAGCATACACCCTCTTCGTGCCGCAGGTTCTCTCTATCTTCCTGGCGAGTATGACCTCAATGAAACCAGACTTGGTGAACTTGAATGCATTGCCGAGCAGATTCATGACGATTCTGCGCCATCCGCCAGGGATGGCTCGCACTTTCCAGTCTCCCGGCTCAACCCGGACAATCACTGATAAGTGGTCCGACTCCTTGGCGTTCTCGGTGCCCTTGGCAGATCTAAGTCCCACTGTTGGCCCGCTGGGCAGGTACCGGCCTGCAACTTGGGAAGCGTTAACCAGGGACTGGTGACCTGCATACAAGGTGTCCGCCACATCCTCTACCAGAGTGTCCAAATCGAATTCGCACGTTAGTTCCGCGAGAGAGGTCTCAGTATCCCCGTCATTCTTTGCGTCTGCACTGGTCAGATTGTTGATTTTCGTAAAATCCAACCTGCATGTATGTTAGTGAGATCCCACCGACGGAGTTGCCAACCTACAGATAATTCAGCGTATCCAACAGTGTCAAACCACAGGTTTCAATCATCGTGAGCATGTCCTGTTGAGCCGGTTGAAGATCTGTCGAGTGCAGCAACTCTAAGCTGGCAAGCATGCCATGTAGCGGTGATCTTAGCTCATGGCTCACTGATGACAATAGATCTGATTTAGACTTTTCCGTCGCCTGCCAGTCCATTTGAGCCGCTTCGGACACAATTGAGTCACCGTATGCTTTGAGATAGTACAAATCGGTTTGGCCAAAATGTCGTTGGCCGTCTGATGTCCACAAGAGCGCACCGGCGAACCAGCGCGATGTATTCCAGTTCCACATTGGGAAAAAGAGGAGCGACCTGGCCTCCGGAATGTCTTGCACCAGACGGAGAATGATTGCGTGATGACGCGATCCCTTTGCATCCGTGAGGTGGCCACATTTCTGACTAGTACAGTCAACGAGGGTGCGGTTATCGAAGATGGTGCCTTTTGGGTAGGCGGCAAACAAGTCATGCAGCAAGCCTTCTGAGATGTAATACTGCGAGGTACCGCGATTTGCAGATTCCGACGACGCACAGCCCAAAGGCTCGCATACCCTCTCTCGCCAAGGCCCGGCTGAGGATAGGCCCGCAGAGAGGATACCAGAATCGCCGTCCTTGGAAAGTATGTCCAGGTCACTCATGCTAGGAGAGCAGGAGCTAGAGACGTTAGATTGATAACGAGCAGTGCCAGGCGAGACGAACCTCCGAGCGTTACTTCGAGTGGCGTCCAGGAAAAGCACGCCGTCTAGCTGCATACATTTCTGAAGTAAAGTGCTAGCACGGGAGAACAAACGCGACATTGAATGGGATACAGTGCTGCCCTCGATAACAGTCACCGAATTTCTTCTTCCGCGGGTTCTTGAGAAGAACTGGTTTGGCGAGGTCGCAGGAGTTTGGGAATGTGTGTATTGTGGCGAGCCCACGCTACATCTCTCAGAGATCGAAAGATCTTCAATACCAGGGAGGTATGATGGCCGTCTTTGGAAGTGATAGTTTTGCTCAAGGTCAGGGACGGCCTGACCGCTGACGAAAGTGGTCAGACCATTGATGAGCCGCTCTGCTTGAAGGTGATGCTCTTCAGCCGAGCTATCCTTGATAGTACAAGCGACCAGGTCCGCAATCTCCTGCATGCTTGCAACCTCGCTATCTCCAAAAGTCGGATGTGTCGTCTTGTCTACAACACAAACAGCGCCAATAGTGTCTTTGTTCACATCATGGATCGGGACCGCGGCGAAGAAGTGGATCACCTGGTTGTCATGATGATTGTCCTGCGTGAGATCACGTATGACGCATCGGGTGCTGTTGGCAATAATGTTGGAAGTGTCGACGACATGAGCCTCAACCAGGCGCAGGCTCAACACCTTTACTTGGCGCTGAACCTCCCCGTCAACGCCAAACCCCTCCTCCCCATCTAACCGGAGAGAAGGTGATGCTTCCGCAATGATATTCGCCCGTCCATGCTCGAAACGAACCACAAACGAGTGGCTGCAGCTGAACCGATACGTCGCCAATTGTGCGTAAGCGGTCAAGGAAGCCGCTGAACTTGACTTGTCTCGCCTATGGGTTGCAAGTCGCCCGCTAGTTGGCTCGGAGCGCTCGTTGATGTCATCCTGAGAATGAGCCGAACGAGACCTTTCCAGTCAGTAGAGACTCGTTTAATGCAGAATGAAACATGAAACATACTCCTCCTGCTCTAGGACTGTTCCTTGGGCAGTGCTCAGGGGAGGCGGCACCGCAGAGCCCGACAGTGGCATGATCGAGTTAGCGACGCATCCTAGACTTGGTCATGCAAACTTGCCCGGTGATCAGAGATCGACGCAGCAGGGCAAAGCACAGGGAGCCGTGAATAAGAATAGACGGAGAGTACATGTAGTGAAATTCGGCGAGGCTGATGAAGATTTCAGATCCTGGTCAAACTGTGGGGGAGAAAATCTCCGTTTGTCTAGACCATGGTCAAGGAAATAGTCAGCAGATAGCTAGGTAGACCAGACAATCCAGTCTACGGTGTCATTGGCCGTTCACCCAGATGCTGAGCTCACGGGTGGCTCGGGTCGATCACTGACTTCAGGACGTGT